ACCTAGGGCACGCGTGCCACATGTGGCACGCCGCGGAATAAACACTGGCACGCCGGCACCTCCGCATTATTCTCACTGTATCTGTCCTGTTTTAAAAATAAGAGCATCTCCCTCTTTGTCTGAGCGCTTTTTGGGGGCCGGCACTAGGACCCAGCGGACACCACTGCGGGGATAAGCTGCGTGCTTCACACACACACCGTGTGTAGCTGTGGGTGAAGCCAGGAGCCAGCAGCTGCAGGTGTATGCGAGATTTAAACTTATTTTTGCACATTCAAAGTAGTAACTGGTGTGCCATTCACTGCAGACGCCTCCTACAATCACTGTGACACGCTGTCAACACTGTGTGCGTGAAATCAAAGAGGGAACTGGTGAGTTTAAGCATTTTTGTGCTGCACAGAGCTAGAATGCTAGCGCTAGCCTTTGATGCGATGTTGAACTCGAATATTGTTGTTCTCATGTTGATTCCCTGTGTAGCCGACTATGCCTTTTTATGTGCTCATGTATGGTTACCAGAGCATGAAATTTGCTTGTGTGCTCTTGAACCAAAAGTATTAATACATTTATTTTTGATATGTGCACTGAACTGAATGAATTGTATTGTGATTTATGGTGCAGAGGATTAATTGTGAATTATGAAGTGAGAATGAGCACTCTGATTATTGAGTATATATTTATTTGTACATGTATTTTTGTAGTAGTGATATATTGCTAAATGAAACTGTTGGATATTTATATTGGTCCTGTCATGCAGGCCAGGTTCCTTGGATCCGTCCGTCCATATGGACTTCTTCTGATGGCGAGCTGCCCCAGGCCGAAACCTAGAGATCGTCAACCCTACAGTGCGGTAGGAGGCGAGCAGTCTCCCTCATACAACACCACAAACTGAGACAATAACCTGAACTGGATTACTGCAAAGTACACGCTCCCCCTTTTCAAACCAACCTGCCAAACCCAACTCAACCGGACTCTCTCACTCAAAACCCGTTCAATTATTTGTTGTAAATATTGTAAATATTGTGAATGTGGGGTGTGTGTGTGTGTGTGTGTGTAATCTATCCCCTGCCTTTGTAAATATCTATTAGAGGTGCAACGGTTCATCACTGATCCGTGATCTGTTCAGATCAACGTCTTCGGTTCGGTACAGACGTGATCCGCAGTTTGATTTATGAAAAAAAAGTTGTGCACTCCCACTATGTTGTTTAGTTCACACACAGCGTAATCATGGCGAGCGGAGGAACAGAGAAGCCTGTGTCATTTAAATCCCCGGTATGAGAGCATTTTGGCTTCACTGTAACTATACTGATGATTAAATAGTCAACAAAACAGTCACAGTGTAAATACTGTGGCACAAGACCGACCCTTTACGCACAGTCAGACCGGGCTAAAGTCAACTCTCCCGCGTATCCTCAGTTGCGCTCACAACTGACGCTTGGACGTCCCGCGGAACCTATAATAGATCCATGAGCGGTTGAGATAACCATGAAATGTTACGATAACCGCTCACTTCATCACTGCAGACTGCGCGATGAAAAGTCGGGCGTTGCAGACACGCCCCCTCTACGAAAGTCAAGTGTGTCAGTACAGGCACACAGCGCAGGTACTGACACAGCAGCACAGGTACTGACACAGCAGTGGAGGAATGGAAGACAAAGGCCCAGTACTAATATCCCAGTTACAACTGATAATGCCAGGATGGAGCGCCTCCTCGGGAGAATCAGGAAGGTGGTTTAATATATGAGAGTAAATATTCTCATAATGTGCCTTCTTATGTTGCACTTTGTGTTTTTTCATTAATTATGTTAAAAAACATAAATGGATGGATGGAATATGCCAATCCATTTTCTTCCCCTTAATCCATTTCTAGGTCGGGGGGGGGGGCAGTCAGAGCTGCACCCAGTTCACAGATCACCAGCCCCTCACTGATCCTCCTGCAGGTGCCGAGTTTATTAAATAGACAAAACTTTTTTTTTTTTTTTAAATGAACTGAACCGAGGTACGATCCCAACCGTGATTTTTTTCAAAACTGTTGCACCCCTAATATCTTTGGATGTGTTTGTTGTATCAACACAATTGACCGAAAGACTCAAATAGTTCATAGTTCATAGTTTCATGAAGCATCATTTCAAACACGTTTTCAAAGTCCTACACCTTTCACATGGTGTGAAAACACACACCCTATATGACTCTACAGCGCGCACCTATGTAAGGCTTCTGACCTAAACTTTTCAATCTTCACCAAAGTTGCAAAATCAAATCTTTACATCTGTACGAGCAAAATACTACTCTACGTAGAGGGTGCATGTCCCGGAGGTGACCACTAGGGACGCACTTTATCATATAAATGAGCTTTTATATACGTAATCCTGGTCAGATCGGGCTGCCAATTTGTCGGCGTGACGCTTGTGGGACTGGCGCCCGGGAGGCGGTTGCAAGAGGGGCGAGGCCTTGTTCATCGCCGCTTGCGGCTTTAATGAAAATTGTTATTCGGTGGTTTCATTTATTCTTTTTCCGCCGAAACAATTCGATTTTTAGACGGCCTGAAGACATGCACGAAAGTCTGCACATGGGGGGTCCTAAAACGACCGGTTCGCGAAAAATTTTGAATAAAACGGACGTTTCGAGATTGTCCGACAAAAGGCGAATCAATAGCGCCCCCTTGAAAAATTCAAAAATTTGCCATTTCTATTGGAGGCAGGATTGCATATTTTGGAGTAGGTACAAACGAAATTTCGCATGAGTTGATAGATCTCTATGAGACGAGCATAAAGCCGTCTATAGCACATGTCTGGGACCAACAGGAAGTCGGCCATGATGGGCCAAAGTTTCGCCACTAATTTGACTTTTCATTTAGAAATTCGAACTAGTCCCTGGTTTTTCATCACACAGAGTTCTAACCACGTCATTTCCTAATTTGAGACGGATTGAAGTTATATAAACATCACACAAAAGTTAGAAAATCTTCACCGTTTTTGTCCCTCGCCATGGCGAACTAAGGCCTAATGTTTTGGCATTTTCGCTGAGCCCTGAGGGCCACAGGCTCAGCACCCTACAGAGCTGAGACTCACAATCAGTAATATTAGTTATGGCCTGAACGCAATGGACACTAAATCATTTCGCCCAATTTGAGCTCTTTAGCGCCACCTGTCGGAAAGTAATAGGGGCACTAGTGTGCTCGGATCGGCCCAAAAATCGCTGAGTTGTATTCTCTGGACCAGAGACGAGCAAAAATTGCATTACGCAAAAGTTGTACGTCCCCACACCTGACACACGGGGGCGCCGGAAAGTGAATAAATGAGAGCTTTTTGGGGCAAAATGTTTGTCCGATGAGGCTAAAAATGATTTCAGAAAATACAGCGTATGAACCCTGAACCCACAACGATATACAACACACAACTGTGAGTGCAACAGCGCCACCTAACAGGCAGTTCAAGGTGTCGCATTTATGGCTTCGTAACTAGTCCCTGGATTGATCATCGCACAGACATTCTAGCCATGTCATTTCTCCATCTGACGGATTGAAGTTATGCAATCATCGCATAAAAGTTAGAATTTTGTTAACGTTTTTCATGCGAGGTAGTGGGGAATTTCTCCATGTTTGATGATCTCCCTGACCACAGAAAGCTCAGACCTACAGAGCTTGAAAACTCACCATCGCTAACAGGTTTGGTAAATGGCCTGAGATAATGGTGGAGAAAACACACACCTAATATGACTCTACAGAGCCACCTTTGAATGCTTCCTGACCTAAACTTTTCCCGATCTTCACGCAAAGTTTGCAAAATCCAAATCTTTAACATCTGTACGAGCAAAATACGTGCTCTAAGAGAGGGTGCATGTCCCGGTGGTGACCACTAGGGACGCACTTTTATCAATAAAAAATTAAGCTTTTTATATACGTAACTGGTCAGTGATTGGGCTGCCAATTCGTCGGCGGACGCTTGTGGGACCGCGCCCAGGAGGCGGTCCGCGGAGAGGGGCGAGGGCCTTTCATCGCCGCTCTGCGGCTTTACTTAATTATTATTCTTTTTTTCTTTTCCGCAGTCTTCAATTTCGTTTTTGACCCTTGAAGACTGCACGAAAGTCTGCACTTGGGGGTCTAAAACGACCGGGTTCGGCGAAAAATTTGATAAAACGGACGTTTCCAAGATTGACCGACAAAAGGGCCAATCAATAGCGCCCCCTGAAAATTAAAATTTTCCATTTCTAATTGGAGGCAGGATTGCATATTTTTGCTTAGGTACAACGAAATTTCGTAGAGTGGGGTAATAGATTCTCTATGAGACGAGCATAAACTCGCGGTCTAAGAGCACATGTCTGGGACCAACAGGAAGTCGGCCATGAATGGGCCGAAGTTTCGCCACTAAATTGACTTTTCATTTACAAAATTCGAACTAGTTCCATGGTTTCTTCATCACACAGAGTTCTACCACGTTCATTTCCTAATCTGGACTGATTTGAAGTAATATAATCATCTAAACAAAAGTTAGAAAATCTTCGACCCGTTTTCACCTTCCCTCGCCATGGCGAATAAGGCCTTCCGTTTTGGCCATTTTCGCTGAGCCCTGATGGCCACAAAGGCTCAGAACCTACAGAGCTGAGACTCACATCAGTAATATTAGGTTATGGCCTGAACGCAATGACACTAAAATCATTCCGCCCAATATGAGCTCTTTGAGCGCCACCTTTCAGGAAAGTAATAGGGCACTAGTGCGTCGGATCGGTCCCGCAAATGCTGCGTGTAATCTCTGGACCGAACAAGTAAAAATTTTACATTATGCAAAGTTTGTAAGGTCCCACAACCTGACCACAGGGGGCGCCGTTAAGTGAAGGATGAAGGCTTTTTGGGGCAAAATATTTGTCCGATGAGGCTTAAAAATTATTCAGAAATACAGCGTATGACCCTAAGTGGATTTTGCATATTACGTCCTGTTGAAATATTTAGTAGTGATTCTAACAAACAGACTTCCTGTGTTTTGTCCTGAAGCCTTCTGAGATCACACAAAAGCACAGTTCCGTTTCCTCTCACCGTCTGCTGCTCTGAACTTGGAGCTGAGGTATTCCTCCGCGGAGTACTTTGCTTTCTTTTTGGCGAACAAGGCTCTGGGGCATCCTGAGAGGCTGCGGACACACACCACACAGACAGTTATTAAGAGTTCCAAAGTTTCCCTCTGATGTAGCACAAACGAACAATAAATACATGTAGCACAATTATTATTATTATTATTTTCTTCTTTCTAATTTGGGCTTATTTGAGCCTAATCTTTTGCAGAAATTTTAATGTCATCAATAAGAGATGCATGGATTGTATTATAATTGACTTCTGCAGATTTATATCTTTAAAACGAGGTCTTTAGTTCTGGAATTAAAGTTAGATGAAAAAAGTTTGTCGTAGAGGAATTACTGATTTTTTTCTGCAAAAAACACTGAAATCCATGCAAAAATAGGCTCACAATACATTAAAGATTTTAAAGTCTAAAATCACATTATAGTTTCCAGAACCCACTGATTATGTTCTGGCAATCCATCTGCTAGAGTTCAGTTAGAAACGGTACAGTTCTTGTGTGCTCCTGTGCGACTGTCTTTTAAATAGTAAGACTGTAACACAAATGTACAAACAATTTTGGTTTGTACATTAGTTTGCACCAATGTACAAATAACAAATGGTGCAATTTTTGTACTTCTTAATTTCACCGAACAAACTGGCAACCCAAATGAGAGACTTAAATGTAGCAAATTATTAGCCCAACATTGTTCGAAAATAACCTGAATTCAAGTAATTTCGAGGCTGAATGATAAGATGTAATTTGATATGAATAACTGTATTCTACCCATTAGCCCACCAACACCGTCCCTCTCTCCTCTGATTGCCTGTTATAACCTTTCTGCGAGTTTGTCAAATTAAGAAAAAACAAGAGCCAACATAACGGAGCGGAGCGTTGCGGAATTCAGGCTGTCCGTGGGATTTGTTCGAAAATAACCTGAATTCAAGTAATTTCGAGGCTGAATGATAAGATGTAATTTGATATGAATAACTGTATTCTACCCATTAGCCACCAACACCGTCCCTCTCTCCTCTGATTGGTCATTTCATTTGCAAATGATGTTGATGCCTGTTATAACCTTTCTGCGAGTTTGTCAAATTAATAAAAACAAGAGCACATAACGGAGCGCGAGCGTGGAATTCAGGATGTCGTGGGAGTTTGAGAATCATAATGGATTCAATTGAGTTGTCTGGATTTGCATACATTTGCATTGTTCTCAAGTGAAGTCAAAAGTCCAAGAAAACTGTGGAGAAATATGTTTCGGAAATTTGTGCTAAATTAATTCCGTGTTTGAAAGGACTTTTGCAGGTGTGTGGTTGGCTGCACAGATGAAAGCCGATGTGGAGGTCAGGAAGTCAGAGCCAAGTTTCTAAAGAATACATTTTAACTAATAATCAATTAGTTTTATTGTTTTTCCTGTTATTGTATTTTTTTGTTATTTAATTATTTTGTTAAATTAATTTATTCATGACATGCGTGGCAGAGCAATAATAACTCTCTTTAAGTGCCTACATCCCAAAACAAAGAAAACACAGATTTTGTTTACTTCCTGGTTGTGATTGACGCGAGGGATTTCACTTTGCAACAATGGATTGGATTGGACCAAAGCTTTGTTAATGTTCTCACAAAGTATTTGTTTTTAGTTAGATTCATTGTGTGTGATAAAAATGTTTGTTGTGTATTGTGTACAACTTTGGGATGAGATCTGTCTGTCTCACTGTGATGTCATCAGTTCTAAAACTTTCCTCTGTTAAATATTGAAATGTTATACTTTATTGGTGTAAATCGTACAAAACCACCATTGTAAAATTGTTCATACGCACTTTACTGTATGTAGAACATGTATTAAAAACAAACACGGAAGTAAGAACGTCACTCTCATCTGGTGGAAGAATCATGTTAGTATTCTTCAAGATTTAGACCTAACATGATGTGGTCTAGCTAGAGTGAAAGTCGGACTTCAGTTGAAAGTCACGCTCGAGAGCATGTGTCGTTGTAATCAATAATTGTAAATCAGTCAAATATAGTATATCCCATAGAGCAGTGTTTATCAACCAGTGTGCCTTGGAAATCATCCAATATCAACTGCTTGGTCAAAATCATGTGAAACGGAAATAATGTGAGATGATTAGAAAGATTTTTTGTGCTTGTTTGATTTGCTAAATAACACACATTGATGAGAATTACTTTGATTTGTTAATAAAGGCTTTAAAATGTTCAATGTTGTATCAGTTTCAGCTGGTGGTGTGCAATGGTATATTTTGCAATGACAAAGGTGTGCCATGGCTCAAAAAGGTTCGGGAACACTGCCATAGAGTAACATAGTTTCCAGCCACCACCAACAACTATGACATCATCAAATTCTAGACTTTGATCGGGACCTAATTAGCTTAATCATTTTGTTCGGTATCTTTTGCCAAGTTGTGTCCTGGTCTCATTACATGTTCATAAGACTCAAAAGTACATGAGAAAAATCCAGTGGGAGGATGTTGTTTGGACTGAGTGTGCAGCTTCATTATCTTCACATCATAAAAATGAGAAGCAGAATAAAAGCTTGTGTGTGTGTGTGTGTAGCAAGTGCGTACCTGCGGTGAGTGAGGAAGCTGCCGTTGGCGTGTCCCGAGCCGTCGCAGCCCGGTGTGGGACAGGTGGGACCCTCGCTCTTGAATGCTTTCCAGTTGAAGGGCGTCCCGTTCAGCAGCCCCTCCTTCTGGCGGCGTGCGGCCAGTGGGCAGCCGTACGCGCTGCGGTGCGTGGCGTACTTCCCACTGATGTGTCCCAGACTGTCACAGCCGGGCACGGGGCACCTGGGGGGAGAGGAGGGAGGGACCACAAGGGGGAGGCATTACAGCAGGACATGAGGGACAGAAGGCAGGCAGCTTTACACCACTGTACTTACAGTTGTGCTTGAAAGTTTACACACCAGGCAGGCATTTCATTTTGGAGATTAGGAATGATAACAAACATTTTTCCCACTCATCGTCAGTAACACAATTGATCTGTAGAGATCTCAAACGTGCATGCAAGGCACAGGAGCTGGAGGCTTTTTTTGCCAAGTTGAATGGGAAGCTTTACTATAGGAGAGGATATCAGAGAGAGACTGTGAGATCAGACACCAGAAAGAGAGACCAGAGAGAGAGACCAGAGGGAGACCAGAGAGAGAGGCCAGAGAGAGACCAGAGAGAGAGCAGAAAGACAAAAGAGAGAGTGACCATGAGAGACCAGAGTGAGACTAGATAGACCAGAGAGAGAGAGACCAAAGAGACACCTCCAAGACTCCAAGCTGCCATTGATGTTAAAGGGCAATACACGCTTTTAAGAACAGGGGGATAGAGACTTCTGATAATTCTCTGAAGAAGAGTTTCTGTCGTCATTATCATTTGACAATACATGGCTTCACACAACCACTAACAATGAGTGAAGAAAGTGTTGGCACAGTCATTCAGAATCTGAAATGCCAAATATGGATAAAACCCACATTTCTGAAATGTCTTTAAAGCACAACTCCTATACCCTTAAGAGTAAGTGTGAAATGTATTACTGGACAAATATCTTTCCTCACTGGTTCCTCAGCTTAAATCAGAAGTGTCCAAACGTATAAGGCCTCATGTTCAGTTGTGGCTTTTTGGTCTTTACTTTATGTCAGCAGAAGTCTTTCAATAAATATCTCTATTCAATAAATCCGGGGGCAGCTCAGCAGGACTGAGGGCCATCAAAGGCCGGTCAGAGGGCCGCATTTGCCCGTGGGCGGCAGTTTGAACAACCCTGGGTTGAATGACTCTTTATCTGTATGTATCAGGAAATGTTTTCAGTGTCTTGTTTGTGTGAATTTTTTATTTATACGAACAAATTCTAAATATATAAACTACATTAAAGCAGGCCTTTCTAACCTTGGATTTGGTTCCAACAGAAAGAGTCTTAAAAGTGTGTGTGCGTTTTTTTTTTTCAAAACATGTTTTTTTCCAATAGCTGTTACATAATTGTAAGAAAAAGCTCTGTGAATCACTATTTGACTCCGGGCCGAGAGCTGAGTCCTCTCTCTTTTTCTCTTTCACTGCGACACAGGCCAAAAACACATTTATTGCTTCCATTGATCATGACTCCAGTGTTTTACTGTAAACGAGCCAAAACATTATCTTGGTCATAAGTTCTAGGGCTACATGATAAAACCCTTACCATTGTAATAAAGAATATCTCCAATACTGTCAACTTTCTCCTTTACATCATCTACAGTATCAGTAATGCTGCGTGACAGTCATTTTTAGTATTTGTAGATCAGCATATACTGTATTTTAGCGGCACCAATTTTGAAAACGAAAAAGACCAACAACTGAGAAATAAAGTGAAGCCTCTTATGTATTAGTAACCCTTGATTATAATTGGCCTACTCTCTCTTTCTGTCTACCTCTGTCCGGTTTTTAGTTTTACCGTCAGTATCGCAAAGAAAAGACATGGTTTCTGAGCGGTACGAACTTTAAAAGCTCCGAATCCTCCTGGTTGTCCTTGGTAGGAGTTTTAATTCCACTTTTCTTGGCACGCGGGCACCCAGAGAGACTGAAAACACAAAGTATGGAAGGTGATAGCTTCAGAACACGTCCGGTAAGCAAAAGGTAGAAAATAATAATAAGAATAACTGTACAAAGATTGACTCTAGTAACAAATCCAGCGCCTGAATGAATGATGTGGAAATGCAAAAAATGAATATCTACGAGAGGTAAAATGACATGGACTCTTTTTTTATTCTGTACTATAGTGAGTACTTTATTATTATTTTTCTGTAGCTGTATTTAAGAATACATAAGTATATTTACTTTTTATGTTATAATGTGAAATCGTTTTCAAAATAGAACATTAGGATTAGCCACACTTCTTCCACAACATCTTGTGGTAGTGGGACATTTTTCTAAATTCAGATCAAATAGTTTAATTAAAGGCACACAAACGTATAACATGATTTGACACATTTATTTGGCATTAAGAGGCAATACTTTAGTTTGAAAAGGCAGAAAACAGATCGGTGCATGACATCTCCTGAGGATTTGTCCTTGCGTACAGTTTTTAAACAGAGTATTTATGCAAGGAAAGGGATTCAGCTAAAAACAACCCCAGGTGTGTGTTTGATGAGGAACAATGTTGTAACATCATTAAAACCTCAAAATAATCTGTTTCAAACATAAATGCCAATGGAGCGCATATTATATAAATAATTCGGGCGTTCTGCTCTCCCAAAATTCCATCCACTGAGCGGCGCTGTGATCAAAAAATGACACCGTTTGTTGCCCAGTTCACTTCCGGTTGATTTCATACAATGGCGAATATGGCTCACGAAAACAACAAGCAATTGACAGTGCCTGAATTGCGTGAAAGGTTGAAGCGAAAGGGTATTTGCAGTGTGGGAAAACGAAAGGAGGAATTGTTGTTGCTAGTTCAACGAGCGGATGGTGTTTATGAAGATTTAGAAGAAGATGACAGCGAGCAGAGTGAACGAAAACGGCTGTGTGTGCGAGTGACAGATGGTAACAATGAGAATGAAGTTCAGCTAAGAGGGAAGAATGTGAATTGGACGGATGATTTGCGCGATATGCCACTAGTTAGAGACGGGAATGTATTTGCATAATGTAAAATGACGAAAACACTCAACCATTTAGAGAAAATGCGCCGGGCAGAGAGAACCGGAAGTTGCGAAGGCAAGTGTTACCCATAATGCAACGCAAAATTCAGTCGCTCCCCCGCCCATCGGATGGAATTTTGGGAGAGCAGAACGCCCGAATTGCTTTGTGTCCATGCTCCATGTAACTAATATTACATATATGTACATAAGGTTGTCCCTTTAACATATGTTTGAGAATATTTACTTTTTACTATTTCACCTTTTAGAACTTAAACTATAGTTTGTAGCATGTAGCATAAATAACTCAGAATGCTCTAAATAAGAGCAAACTACACCCTCTACTGGTGACATTGAGACATTACAATATCACTGTAAACTATTTGCATAATATTTGGACTTGCAGAAGTAAGGAAACAGTTTTGTGGGAAGGAGTTGTGCTGAAAATGCCTGTGGTTAGTGCGGATGAAGCTAACACAACTCTCAGGCTGGTTTGGAAGAGAAACTATGTTGGAACACTACATTTAGTACGAAGTTCTTCTAATAGATACAAGTCTCTACCTGCAACCACCAAACAAGTGATTGAAAATACATAGTAAATACATAAGGTATCTTTATGAAGTAATAAAACTAAATCAGAACAGGCCTAATAAAGTGAGTCCAAGTCATTGAAGCTGCAGCAGACATTGATTGTTTGCGTGTGGCTGTGCTCCTGTCTCTTCACCTCTCTGACTCACTCGTGGTGCACTTATGTGTGTGTGGACGGCGGCCATGTTGAGTGTTTACCTTCTGTGGGAGGTGTAGTTTCCTGTGATGTGACCGGAGCCGTCGCAGCCTGGGGTAGGGCATCTGCGACAAAACACAGCAAAGACAAGTATTTAGGAAGGGTTTTAAAAGTAGATGCTCCTTTGTCTACTATATGGTGCCCTTTAATGTTCAATAAGTCTGAAATAAGAAAGTCCTGTGTGGTTTGAACATATGGTGGAATCTTGATATTGATGAAAAAAAAGTTTTGTAGAGTCCAAATTTACTCTGTGCCTCCCCATTATGCTCCATCACAACACTTTGCTGAACTTTGTATTAAGCAGGAGACAGTGCGATAAAGTCGAAAAGAGTAAAAAGTCGGCAACAGTTTGAAACCAAGACAGCAGAAGAAAACCAGAACATTATTTGTATATCTAAATGGTTATTTTGAGGGTAAATAGAAGAACAGTGAAAGTTTAGAGTGGAAACATACTTGAGTTCAGGAGTGTTGGCAGCCATGAGGGACCGAAGGCTCTTATCGGCGAGAGGACACCCGGAAAGACTGAAGGACGCAAGGATGCAAGGAGATAGGAGGCAAGGAGACAAGGAAATAAGAGCAAAAGTGAGCCAGAGATAGAGGCTATGATAAATACATTTTGAGGAAGACAAGCTACCAGTTTGTTTAGGAGGAAAACAACAGAGCAAGCAGAACTGATACAAGCATAGAGTAAAATATTGTGTAGAGGATGAAGTTGTATAAACTGTCCTGGCTAGCTCGCCACATGTAACACACTGCATGCTGAATGGACCTATGTTACTAGAAGAGATCAGAAATGGATTCGGAGACGGCAGGAAAAAGAGCCGGTGGAAAATACTGAGCTTACTTGAAATGAAGTTACGATGTGCTACAGTATATGGACATGTTACTATATAAATCAGATTTAAGTGGTTTGTAATTGGCAGATAAATAAATGTATCATAATCCCTGGTTATTTCCCACATCTCCAGAGTAACTAGACATTTGATCGGTGCTCCACTTAGGAGCTAAATATAGGCGTATGGGAAAAAGATGGCCTCTGACACAAACCTGCGGTGGGAGGCATAGTTTCCGGTGATGTGTCCACTGCCGTCACAGCCTGGGGTGGGGCAACTGTCAACGACAAATGAATATTGTGAACTTCAGATCTTTTCAGATTTTTTAAACTTGGTTGGTGAAAAATGTATTATTTATATTTATAAGACGTATGAATGCCTACAATTCAAACATGTGTGTTTTGCAGTGACTCACGCGAGAAGCTCCTTCTTCACATCTTTAGGGTGGAACTTGAGCTTGAAGGTGGGGGTTGTGACCTCTCCCGGGTACTTCCTGTCCTCGCCCGGGTATTTCCTGTCGTCCAGACCGTCCATCATGTCGTCTTCATCGGACGAAACGTAGGACTGAGCTGCGTGCTCCATCTGCACAGAAAGTATGACAACAGTGGGTTTAGTGATATGACAGGCTAGTGTTAAAGGTATGTTCATCTTCACAGAGTGTATTCTGACCACACACACTCCGAAGCCCTTCTCTCTATTTAGATTTTTAATGATGTGGGTGAGGCGCAAATGCTTCTCTCTTGACATGGACTGTTCTTTCTTTATCTTCTGAGGAAAATGCCATTCACTCAGAGGTATATCGGAGGATTTTCTACTTCCGGGTGAATCATCAAGACTATTGCTGCTCCCAATTGTCAATCATTCTGGTTATACAAACTCGTCAAATAAGACCAGAGAGTTTTGTTCAAAAAGTGGAGAGGGCGGTTCTTTCCTAAAATGCGGAAAAGTCCTTCTATATACATTTAAAGTTAAAGTTAAAACACATAAACTTATCTCAGTGCCAAAGCTGATTAACAATAATAAGCCCGGCTGTCTCGCCGTATAGATCACTCTTGAGACTTGTGGGATGTTTGAATGGCAGGAGTATTTTCACAATCTTAAAAACTGGGATGCAAAGTTAACCCTGCAGAAAATCTTGACAGGACAAAAAGCAAAAGCATTTCTGTACTTAATTACAAATGTGTATCTGGTTTCAATACAACTTTTTACTATCAACTTCTTTACATATGAATAAAACTACAAGTAAAAATAACCTATATCAACGCAAGGTGTCTGAAAATGAACTAATTCAAACTAAAAGTAAGACATGCTTTGAAGGAGCGGCTCGAAAATAGTAATGGCCCGACACGGGACTTGCAATATTCTGAATTTCTTGCACATTTTTACCATAGAAACTTTGAAACTTTCTGCTCCTTTTCTTTGTAGACAAACGCGGACGGCCTCATCAAAAATTAATACTGGAGTTTTTTTTTATTTCTTTTGAAAGAGTTCAAAGAGGAACATTTGCATATGCCAAAGAGGGCTGACGTAACCCACCTGACACAGGAGGCTGGCTGGGTGTTATGGCCTCAGTGTTTGTGTGTAAAATGAATAATGGAAAGAGTTTGTACACACGACTCTTAATGACACCGCTGCAGGGGTTCAGCCTGTTTCTTATTTATGGTGCAATACCGCGTCCTGGGAGAAACTATCGCTGAAATATGTTTAGCAGGCAAATGCACTGGAAAGAACCTACAGTATGTAGAGGTAAAATTGACAAGAACATTTTTGGTTGCTGCATCAAACAGCTCTCAAAAGTAACTCTATGAAAAAGCCCAAAAGGCGCGCGATGCTTCACAACAGGCACACTATTGACTGCTTAATTAAAACATGAAATTGTATTTGATAGAAAACAGTTTGAACATGAAGGATTATCAGAACACAAGATATAATATCATATGTTTCTCAGCAGCAGAGTGTTGGTCAAAGAGGCCACTCCCTTCTTCTGTGGGAAATGACATTCTAGATTAAAATTGAAATCTCTTTAAGCAGCGTCTAATTAATGAATAACAAGATTTTGAAGGAAATCATAATCTAATTTAGAGGCAATACTTTTGTTTTAAAATGCAGAAAACAGCTCTGTCCTGCTCCACCACCTCTGCTGCTGGGACCTGAAGGGCTGTAGCTGATTATTACTATTATTAGCTTTTTAGACCTATCTCTCTATCTATTTATCTATCTATCGATCTATCTCTCTATCTATCTTTCTCTCAGGGACGTGCAGTCAGGGGAGGCAGGGGAGGGCAGAGCCTCACCTGCCATTATTGGAAACTAATAATTATTTTAGTTTAAATATATAATTTATATCCACTGTCCTATGCTTTTAATGTATATTCGGCACGGTTCCCATCAGTTTTGATCATTTCTGAAGTCAAAATCGCCGAAATCCCGTTATTCCTATTCAAAGAGACGAGGTGAGGCAGCGCTCCTGCGTGCCTCACCCCAGACCGCTCCCTCACAGTGTGTGTGTGTGTGTCTGAGTGCACTCAGCTCGTGCAGTTGATATATCACCGTTTGTTTCAAATATCCTGCTTTAAAAACATTTTTTAAACTCCTCTTAGTGTTTAGTAGTGTATTGCACGTATGTGTGTACAATTTATATTTAGTTTAAGTCTTTTGATTGTAGATGAACACACAAGGAAAAAGCTTGGCGTGAGGCAGGCGGTATCTGTGCCTCACCGCTAGGGGTGATAGTGAGCATAAAGTTCATACCAGAGTTGCTAACAAACAATCAGCCCAAAATGCTATTTCTTTTGCTGGAAAATGGATGATTTGAATGAAGATTTTTTTTCTCAATTGGACTTTCAAACAAAGAAAGAATTAATATAGACTGGGAGACCACCACTGGACTTACGAGGTTAGTCCGGCTGCGGGGGAGGAGTTTGTTAATCTGTGTTTTATGTTGAACATTGACAGATACCGGCAAAGTAGTGCTTTTCCGAAAAACACTGATTCAAACACTGCTCAAGAGTTCTGCAACTTGTTTAAATTATTGTTTATGTTCTCCTCGCGTCTCTCTCTCCTCGCGTCTCCGTCTCTCTCTGCTCCTCGCGTCTCCGTCTCTCTGCTCCTCTCTGTCTCTCTCTGCTCCTCTCTCCTCGCGTCTCTCTCTCCTCGCGTCTCCGTCTCTCTCTGCTCCTCGCGTCTCCGTCTCTCTGCTCCTCTCTGTCTCTCTCTGCTCCTCTCTCCTCGCGTCTCTCTCTCCTCGCGTCTCTCGCACCTGCGCTTCTTAAAGATGTTGTTTGATGCGGAGCAGAGTCAGCAGCTAGATTTGTTGTGAGATTATTAAAAGAAGCTGGTTCTCTTATCTTTACAGTATATAAAGTTTGTGGATGTCATTGCATTGGTGATTAAATGCTATTTTATTTGAATAATGATTGTAAATCTGACTTTTAAAGTCAGTGCCTCCCCAATCACAAACCTCACCGCACGTCCCTGCTTTCTCTCTACCTATCTATCTCTCTATCTCACTATCTATCTATCTCACTATCTATCTATCTATCTGTTCATAACGTAATATTTTTCACAGTGTCCCAAAAAAGAAAAAGAAGCATTTGGACAGAAGGGCTGGGGGTATGTGTTTGTGCCAGAACGTCCCCATATTAGCACGGATAACAGCTCCAGGTGTGCTTTTCATGATGGTGGGATATACTTTTGTGGATTGACACAGAACGACCCATATCTCACAGAGCAGACATACTGTACATGTCTTCGGCGCTCATACCTCATCCATGTCGTCTTCGCGCTGGCGGTGGGGTTTGGTGTAATCCAGAGGCCCCTCCCACTCCTCGAGCTTGTAGGCGTGGCTCAGGGGAGGTGACGACATGCTGCTTTTGGACGCCTGATTGGCGGCGGGGGCGGGACTCTCGTGTTTGATTGGCTTCTTCATGCTCAGGTCCAGGGTGCCGTTTTCGTCCACCTCGATGTCCAGCTCCTGAAGACAACCGGCAGCCAGAGTGAGAGTGCATTCAGGCAGAGATGAGAGGAAGTGTCTGGCTCAAGGACACAACACAAGCTGATTACAACACTGAACCACAACACTTGACATTTAGAGTGAGAGAGTTTTTGTTTCTGAACGTCCAGAAGGTGGAACAGCCCCTTGAGCCCAGCATTGGTCACTAAGGGTCATGATGCTGCCCTTCAAAGGAAAAACACAGTAACAGTTGACTATGTACAAAACACAACCTACAAGTTGAATTTCTAACTAATTCAAATACATGTTGAGCTTTTGTTTATGAAAGAGAATCACATCCACGCTCACAACACACTCTGAAATGGGACCAATTACAACCGCAATTAGTATTTCCAATAGTTTCGTTGACAGAGTACATTTTGGAGTCAGTGGCGTCTAAAGCTCATTCTTTCCATTCTTTACAATCAATCTTTGAATCTTTACTCTCATGTACACTTTTCTTTCTTGAGGGCGATAAAGGCAGTCCACAGACACCAGATCAGAGACAGAGGGTTTCCCAAACTATGGTCCATCCCCCGACGCATGCCACACTCCCTCCAAACACTATCAGTTTACCTTAAAACCAGAACAAACATCCTTTCCCTATCGTTACTATGGAGTTTATATTAGCTTAGCATTGCCTTCCAACACTAATAATACCATTAATACAACCTTGAACGCTTGTGTTTTTCGGCCAAAAAAAACCCCATATTAGAGATGAGAAAAGGACGAATGAATCTGCTTTTATAGAATACAATAGAACTTTTTCACTGTTCCAAGAAAATCAGGACAAAAGCAAAAGCCTATGAACTGAAGAAAGATGAAAATCCATTTGTCTTTTTTCTGTCTATCATCTCTATATGCGCTCTCTCATACAGTACACTCACACACACACACACACACGCACACACACACACACACACACACACACACACACGCACACACACATAGGCGCACACACAGAACCACAGGACGCTGTTGAGGCCCCGTTGCATCACTCCCTCCTCCTCTCATCCCTCCATCACCCACTGTCACACACACACACACACACACACACACACACAAACACACACTCCTGTTGTTTTTGAATTTCCCTGCTCCTGGTCCCTGGATTACTCTTCAGCAGGACATCTTTTTCCATTACCAACCATCTCTTTCTCTGCTCTTTGACATCTCTTATTTACAATCTTAACATGTTTCAACCTTGCATTTGAAACATCTTAGCGTGTATATACAGTACGCACGCAGCTTTAATGAACACGAATTTAAAGACGACATGCTCAACGATCGGACAGATAGATAGACAGATAGATATTTTCTTGATTGAGGGCGAGGGGTAGTGCTGATAGTAGTGTGGATGGAGAAAACCATCTAATAAATAAATGCTCTTCTCTTGAGATCATAGACTGTAGATATATGGACAATAATAATCCCTGAGACTAATGAAGCTCAATAGGGAGATGCTCATGGACGAAGTTTTGCTCCAACTTCCTCTGGTTTCTATTGACTTACGTTGAAAGGAAACTCTTGCTCTGTAACCGTTTGTTTCACACTCTCCATTTTGGGCTCAATAATCCATGTTCTAGTCCATGTCACGGTCCATGTAAAGGGAAATGCTCTTCTCCTGACTTTTATGCTGCTATGAAATAATTGTTTATTTACTGACTTTTTAATGAATTTTGATTTTTTCATTTTTCTTGTGAAGCACTTTGAATTGCCTTGTACACGACTTGTGATGTACAAATAAATGATTGATTGATTGATTGATAAACTGTGCTTCCTTTTCATTCTGAAGAAAATGCTGTCCACAAACTGATTGACAACAGTCCTGGCTAGCTCGCCATATGGAACGAAACTTATGGAGGTACGACGCTAAAGTTAGAGCTTTGTCACAGCATAATGACAACAACAAAAATCAGCCAAAAGGGGCGGGGAGACGTGTTTGTGCTGATTTCTGCCGGAGGTTTTTTGATATTAAACAACTCCAGGTTTGTTTTTGAAGAGGAACAATGTTGTAATGTGGTTAAAAGAGGGAGAAGGGAGTGTGCACATGATATCTCCTGTAAGTGGCTTTAGTTGTGTTGGCAGAGCTCCCTGCCTTTTGTTTCTCAGGAGGTGTAATCGGAGCCGTCTGTGCCTCATATTGTGATTCCTAAAAGCTTTCGGGCTCACAGAGGAGAGGCACTCACAAACCCACAGCGGATTCATTATTTTTCCATTTCCTGACACAGTTTTGGGCGGATGAGAGCCCAGATTAGAGCGGTGAGAATTATGAAGAAGGTTATAATGAGCGAGTTTAACTGTACGTGGCTTTCCATTTGAGTTTGTTATGTGCACAATATGTAGAGGTCATAAAGAGAGTGGAAAAAAGAAAGCAAAAAACATATAGTTTAAGTGTTTTACAAATGTTACAATGAATTTAAAACCCATTTACTGACACTGTTGCTGTGTAAACGCGAATGTGATGGCTCTGATTACTGGTGATTATAGGAACTTCCTTTCTTCAAATACATGACTACTGGCAAAGCACATTATAGAATAAAAGATGTAGGTTCAAAGTAGATTAGAAGAAGAAAAAAAGACAAGATTTTTTTAAATGGGCACAGGGGATTCAGCACCATGGACAGAGCAAACCAGCACTGAACCAGAACTAAAGTCAGTAGTAGTAGCTTTAGATAGTAGTAGCTGTAAGTGGCAGTATACTAGTGGTAGTAGTAGCTTTGAATGTGAATGTGCACTTTGTTGTCCCCGTAAGAAAATTTGTCCTCTGCATTTGACCCATCCTGATGCCACTAGGCACAGGAGCAGTGGTCGCCCTAGTACAGCGCCTAGGTATCCATCTCCAGATGTCGATACTCGGCTTGGTCAGGCCTATTATAGCTGGATGATAACCAAGTGTGCATGTTATTAGTGGTAGGGGAAAGCAAAGCACCTGGAGGAAACCAACACAGGCACGGGGAGAACATGCAAACTCCACTCAGAAAAGCCCTTTAGCCAGAAGTAGCAGTAGTAATTATAGTAGTAGCTTTAGATAGTATTTAGTAGTATTAGTAGTAGTAGTAGTAACAGTAGTAGTAGTAGTAGTAGTAGTAACAGTAGTAGTAGTAGTAATAGTAGTAGTGGCGGGCCAGGGCGGCACGGTGGCTGAGTGGATAGCACTCTCGCCTCTCAGCAAGAAGGTCCTGGGTTCGAATCCCGGTTGGACCAGGGCCTTTCTGAGTGGAGTTTGCATGTTCTCCCCGTGTCTGCGTAGGTTTCCTCCGGGTGCTCCGGTTTCCCCTACCACTAAAAATATGTACAATAGGTCTGGCATGTGCCTCCTGTACTGGCACCCCCACTCCCAAAAATAACAATTGTAAACCGCTTTGAGACTCTGATGTGCAGTGAAAAGGCGGTATATAAATAAAGATTACTTACTACTACTTACTACTAGTAGTAGTAACAGTAGTAGTAGTAGTAGCAGCAGTAGTAGTGATTCAAGCCATGCAAAACATACACGCCGTGGTATAGAAGATATATTTATTAAATGGCATTGCATTTTAAGTCTTACTGCAGATGGCGTGCAGTGTGCAGCCTTATGTTGGGCTTCATGTTGAGCCTTTTGTACCTTGGGATGGTCCTTGGTGCTGAGGTTCTCGGGTCTCTCCCAGCAGCGCGTGGACAGGTTCAGGATGGCCGTCGCTGCCATGTGAGCGGCCTCTGCGTCGTGAGCGTAATCGTACGGAGAAGTCTTAGTGAAGGCGTGAAGGCTGAGGCTGGGAGACGCTTTAGCTGTGGGTGAGAGGAGATGCGTGAAGCAGGACTGGAGTAGGACGCAACCAGGACTAAAGGAGGACTGAAGCAGGACTGGAGCAGAGACTGAAGCAGGACTGAACAAGAACTAAAGCAGGTCTGAAGCCGGACTAAAGCAGGATGGAACAATGACTAAAGCAGGACTAAAGCAGGAACTAAAGCAGGAACTAAAGCAATACTAACAAGGACACAAGCAGGACTGGAGCTGGACTTATGGACATCCAGAGTAAGTAATAATAATATAAGTAAGTAAGTAAGTTCCAGAGCAGCTCAAAATGTCCTTAGACTGTACTCTTATTATACAGTCTATGGTCTATACCAGCACTATCCCAGGTCTAGAGCAAGACTAACTCTTGAAGACATTTAAGGAGCAAATAGTTCTAAACCAGGTCTAGAGCAGTTCTACTAAAGGACTCACTCTTGAAGGCTTTGGGTGAGGTTTGGCTGGTGAGGATCTTTGGTGCCAGCGTGCGTTTGCCGAACACTTGTGCGTCGAAGCTGGCGTAATCAAATGAGACCTTGGAGAACTTCTCCAGCTCGTGGGCCAGGTTCGCCCGTGGCGTGCACGGGGCCGACCCGGGGCCATATGTGCCGAAGTGAGGGAGAGGGGGGACGTCCAACTGCTTCACCAAACACATGGGTCTGAGAGGAAGAGAGGCAGACAGAAACGATAAGAGGGGAGGGCTGGAGAAGCAGAGAGGGCAGAAGAGCACAAGACTGAATACAGGTCATTTCAAAAGACACGTGTTATACAATCACATGTTCATAATTGTGCGGCAGACTTCTTATTGTGTGATTTCTTACTCTTTTGTGTTAAAATAAAATGTGGTCTAAGGCTTGGAAGATGCCTCTTGGCCAGGACACAAGCCTTGAATCTCAATGAAATTGTACTGTTTGAATACGGATTGAATTGAATAAATGGCCTTTTAACAACCATTTCAGTTTTTTTCAGAAATTTGAAACAGAGAAAAAGGGGAGCCCTGATAAGAGATGGAGGACTACTAAAACCAATAACAGTATTACATGTTTGTGGCACCACCTGAGCTCGAGGACCTCAGAACCTCAGAAGCTAAGCAGTTCAGGGCCTGGTTAGTACTGTGATGGGAGGCCTCTGGGAACATCACAATGGGGAAGCTGTGGCTGCAAAGTGCCAAGCGGTTTTTGTGTCCTCAAACAAGAAACTTCAACCACATTGTCAGTACGTTTGTGTGTGTGTTGTTTGCGATACATTACTATTATTATTATTATTATTATTATTATTACTAAATGAAAGAACACACTGGGTTGTGGGAAGCCAGGTTGCTTAATAGATAGTGTAGTGTTCCATTTGTCATGTCTATCCAGACATTTCCTACTTAATAAATCATTGCTAAAATAAAAGTATTCTAAATATCATGTTAAAGAACCAAAATAACCACAAACGGAACACAATAGAATGAATAGATCCTCTTAAATAATCTGGAAATGCTTTTGCGTGGTGTGGAGTTGTGGTCTTTGTAGAAAAACACAGTTCATTACAAAAAGAATGGAGACAAAGGCACGTTCTGAGTCCGTATTGTTATTCTCGTTCACACACACGACACTGGGACAGGCGTAATTAGCTTATCGTGCCGCTATTAATTAAAATACCAACGAGGACTGAACCGGGACTGATGCTAATACGACTGATGCTGTTACACTATGTGTCCGGGGAGGAGGCACGAACGGAAAACGCATTGTCTTAACTCAAACTAAACAGTCTACAAATGTGGACACCATAAATTTGATAATGGAACAAGCATAAAACAAGCATTACCTAATAACTTTGCTGTAGTAGTAAAGCTGGGGTATCTAACTTTATCTTTTATAAATATTACATGTTACTTGTTCCAACAGAAGCAAGTAAAATGTGAACAAAGTCACATTTTATTATCATTATCTGATGCTGAGAGCTGAGAGCTGATTGGCTGAGTGAGGCTGGTCCTCTTTTTCACTGTTCTGTCTGAAAAACTAGTGATAATACAACCAGCCGTATGTATTCTCAATATTATGATTGAATAAAAGTATAAAAGATGATTCATGTGTGTATTGTTATTTTTCAGTGAAATCAAAGGCTGTGGATAGAGGCCCCACCTGAGCACCCTCTCGTTGCCTTTGAGCTGGTCGCTTTGGGGCAGGTGCTGCTTGTCTTGGCCCTTGGACAGCTTCTCTGCGGCGGCAATGGGACATCCCGACAAGCTGTGGACAGACAGAAGATATTTATCATTTATAATGAAGCAAAAAAATACAAATTTCAATTAAAAAAGTTAACATAATCTAATGGGTAGCTTGCATTATATATAATACCTGTGATAAATCTTTATGAAACTGCACATTATTTGAATTATTATGTGTTTTGTGCACATTCAGAATGCTCTGTTACCTGCGGTGCGTGTTGCGGTTGCTGTTGACGTGGCCCTGTCCCGTGCAGCCGGGAGTGGGGCACTTCAGGACATTCTCGTGCATGGCCAAAACTGCAAACAGAACACACAGTCAGTGTCAGTCACACCAGATTCAGTCAATGTGGCATGTTTGCTGAATGTGGCAAGTTGATCAAAATCTATTTAAAAAATAGTTATAAAGAATGAAACTATGTCTAAATGAACATGGTTACTATATCCAGGTCACACTTTTGAATGCACTGACTTAATTTTACCTAAATCTATGTAACACTCTATCACTCTTAAAATAGTTTTCCCAGGCATGCATTTTTGGCCTCTGTCACATCTTAAGATCAGCATCAGACAGAAATATGAAATATAAGAGAAATACAAACACTATCACTCAAATAGCGACTCACAGGGCTCTTTGTGAAAAATAGGTTTTATATGGACATGTTTTCTAATAAGATGGAGACAGCATGTTGTGGTAAGACTTGTTTAAAAGTGCAATATTAGTGCTGTCTTACTCTCTGGGGGGATGCGGTCCTTGTGCGGACAGCCCGACAGGCTGCGGTGGTGCGGGTACAGTCCAGTCACATGACCTGTGCCATCACAGCCCGGGGTCGGACACTTCACCTCCTTCTTCTCTGGACGAGAGAGAGAGTCTGAAGGGAGAGAGAGAGGGGGTCAGAGCTGAAGCAGGACTGAAGAAGGACTAAAGCAGAGGCTGGATCAGGACTGAAGCAGAGAATGAAGTAGGACTAGGGGAGAACGTGGGACCATCAGCGAAGGAGTTCCACAGGGCTGTGTTCTTTCTCCACTGCTCTTCTCTGTGTACGGTTCTTTACAAGATTTTGCTCTTCTTAGGTATAATACAATCAAGTGTGCAGACATTTTGGCACAAATGTAAAACATCTAGTTCACTTTCCTTGTTTGTTCTGCTGCTTTGTCTTTGCCATGGCGTTTACAATCTCTCTCCTATGCTTCGTGTACATATTTTTCTCCATTGACCAGAATCTCAAATTTGATTCTTTGTTCATGATTTACATTTTTTTGTTTTGGATTGTTTTTTTTAATTTTGGCTGTTGAACAAAGTGCATTGAGCCTTTTCCTCTTGTCACAATAGAAAGCCACAGCTCTGCGTACGCCCCTCACCACAAATGTATCTTTTATTCACACAAAGGTCACAGCTGAGTCGCATCAAAACACAAACCCTTCTTCAAAACTGTTTTTCTCTTCATAAATTGTTTTCTCTTTTCAATGACAAAGAAGGGAGTGAAAAGGAGACAACATTCATTTACGACACAATAAACGGAGCGCATTGCAATCACAAGATTCAGAGCTTTTGTTTGGATTTTATCTGAATTTTCCCTGATACAATTGGTGGAATAAGAAGTTGTACTAGCCCAGAATAAAATAGTATTCTGTGCAGGAAGTTTTGAATGGCCAGTGATAGTTACTTTGGCATTTCATCTTTTAGAATGAAAAATAATTTATTAAAAAAGGAAATATTATATTTGGCCTTTAAAAAAATATTTTGAAATTCTCTCCTTTGTCATTTCACGTCCAAGTATGTGAGATAATATCTTTTTACTTGAAAACTAATTTATGGGCACTACGTTTGTTTTAAAGGCAGAAAACTGCTCTGATTGTGATGTCATAGTGGTACAATGACATCATACTATTACAGGATTGAGACAGCAGCACCACTAATGTTTCACCACTACCCCTCCTCTCACCTTTGCTGAAGTAGCTCTTCCGGAGGGCGTCCAGGTGCTTGGGCCGGTCCTCCAGGGTGAAGTATGGTCTGTGAGGGTGGATTATCTCCGGAGCGCGCAGCAGTGGCTTCACCTGCTCTGCTTTGAGGGCGATGGCCTGTTCCAGAAGGCCCAGGTTCCCTCGCGTCATGTCGAACATCTCCATCTCTTCTGTCATGGTGGATCTCTGAGACAGACTGTCCTCGTCATCTCCATCCTCCGACTTATCCGAGCCCACCTGAAGAATACAGACAGTTGGAATTAACATCTTTGATTAAGGCTTAAATCCAATTCACTTTATTTTTACAAAAGAACCATGGATAAATTATTATAATAACAGGCGTTGCCTGTAAGGGTAAGTGGCAACTAAGACAGTTCTGTGCAAATGTGCGAGTCTGGTGTAGCCTGTGTTTGCTGCGTGCATTCAAACCAATATCCATTCACAATATATAGACCTTTAACTAATTTAACGTAATGCTAAAATAAAAATGTTAGACATCCAAACAAAACAATCAATATAACTGTAGAGGTGGGAGTGCAGCCCATTATAAAGTAGCAGAAAAATCCAGCAGTAGCAAAGAGGCTGCTGGGAAAAGTTTGTCTAATCAGCAATTAGCCTTCAGCTTCCTGCAGTTAAACAGACTCATCCTTTCTCTGCTTTCAGCTGATGCTGCAGCCCTACTCCTCCCCATCACCACCCAAACTACGAGACATACTCTCCATGTCATTGGCTCAACACGTCAGCTTCCATCACCAAGCTGTGGTCTAAAGGCCAAAAGCACATTCTATAGGCCAGTCTATAAAATACTGCAATTTCTGCTCTGTCTAGATGCAGAATCATGCCATCATTACCAATAAACTTCATAAAAAAGTATTCACATGAACACTATGTGAAGCGAAGTAAGTTTCTAATTACTTTCTGCAGAAAATTATCTATAGATTGCATGGAATGAAAGGACCCGCTCTCGGGTGGCTCACCTCGATGATGTCCGGCGATACACTGGACGAGCTCTTGTGCACCTGGTAGTACTGGTCCAGAGGGGAGCTAACGCGCGCCGAGCCGTAGCTTAGTGCTGGACTGGCCTTATGGGAGTTGTAGTCTTCAGTGAAGTTGTAGTCCTGTGGGGTGGGGCTGTGGCTCTGAGGGGAGGGACTACTTGGGATGTCAGCCGGGCTGCTGGGAATGTAGGCGGGGCTATGATGGTTGTGGGCGGAGCTTCTGTTGATGTGAACTGGGCTGCTGTAGCTGTGAGCGAGGCTGGTGCTGTGGATGACGCTGCTGTGGTTGTGGGCGGGGCTGTGTTGCATGTGGGCGGGGCTGTGTTGCATGTGGGCGGGGCTGTGTTGCATGTGGGCTGGGCTGATTCGGTGCGATCCCTGAGCTAACACGCTGGCGGTGCTGGTGATGGTCGGCACGGCGGCGGGCACATCAGGTAAAACAGAGCTGTGGTCTTCATCATCTTTCTCCTCTTCCTCCATCACAGCAGGCTCCGAGTGCTGGAGCCACAAGAGAAAAGTGTGTGGGAAAAATTTAACTGAAATAACACATGTTGTTTGTCCCAACAGAAAGCGTAGAAGAAAAACAACTTCCTCTTATTAGAAAACATGAATGAAAGAGCCCGGTGAATCCCTTTGTGACTCATTGGGTTCTCTTTTTCACTTTTTGTCTGAAAAAGCTGATCTAAAGATGTGGCAGAGGCCAAAAATACATTGATTTTGAGGACCCCCTTGAGATGATTCATCTCAAGGGGCTATTCCTTTTAAAAATCTTTAATAATGATAACTAGTGATTGAACCAAACAGTTTTAGAGCCAAGAACTAGTTTTACTTTTTAGTTCTATTATTTGTGGTTTGAAAGTTAGATACCCCATCTTTACTTGAATGAATACACACATGAGCTTGTTAAAACAGTCAAAACAAGTCCACCTCTGTGCCCTACTGGTGTCAGTGGGAATTACAACCCCCAATGAAAGATCATGTCAAAGAAAGCACACAGTTGGAAAAAAGCTTTTGACGCGTCTCTGTACCTGCTCCTCTTGAACGCTCAGCTCTGTTGTTTTCCCATCTTCTTCCTCCTCCTCTTCCTCCTCCTCCTCCATGCTGACCTCTGGATCCAAGATGTCCGACGCTGGGATAGAGTTAGCTGCCTGTGACTCGCCCGGGTGCAGATCTGACTCGTGCGCTCTCCCCAGGTGTAGCAGAGAGTTGGCGACGTCCTCTGTGCTGTGAGGAGACGCTTCCTCTGAGTGAACTGAAGGTGGCGCTGTGGCCGACGCTGACTCCATCAAACACTCCTCTGTGACAAAGAGAAGACATTCAAATGAAAAGTTGAATCGTGTTTTAATAGTTTCCCTTCTCATTCAGCATGGATTAGAATTACAATCTTCTAGAGTATTTAAAAGAACTTAAAGGAACTAAAAGGATCCAGAGGAGAAATATTCACAGAGCATGTGAATAATGCATCGGTTTTATGTAGCGCTGTTTTGAACACTCTGGACGCTTCACATAATATTTGTTAATTTCATTCATGGTTTAAAACTAGAACCGGCCCATACCTTCATCTTTCTGCTCTTCCTCTTCATGGGTTTGTCCATTTTCTTTGATGTCTTCAGCCTCTGCTTCTGTCTCTGTCTGCGTCTCTGAGTCTCCATGAATCTGTGTGAGCACCGCTGCGCTGTCGTCCGTCTCCTCCTCAACTTCCTCCTTCTCCACCACCTCCTCCTTCTCCTCCACCTCCTCCTTCACCTCCTCCCTCCACCACCGTCTCCACCTCCTTCTCAATGTCTTTCTCTGCTTCTTCCGCTTCGCTGCTGCCGTCGCTGTCCGCTCCGAAGCCTTCGTCCAGAGCTAGTTTCAGGGGGTGGGACTTCCTTTTGGAGGCGGCGCGCTCTGTATCTGCTTCCTGCTCTGCCTCGGCTTCTTCCAGCCGTCGCTTTCTGGCGATGGGACAGCCGAGAAGACTGCACAAACAAAAGCAAGCACGTTAGATCTGTATGCCATAGAACGTCTGCTTGAGCTTGCGTTCAGAGATCAATACGGTCTATCTCATCTTATCTTGTGACAGGCAGTGGGAAAAAGGGGTCACAAGTTGCTCAAGAGAAAAATTTCCAATTTCAAAAAGGCTTTTTTTCCTTTCAATTTCATGATTTTTGTAAATGCATTTTATTCTCATTTGCAGACGTCAAAGAGACATCCTAAAAACATGTTCGAGCCATGTCAACTGGCTGCTCTCGAAGCAGTGGCTCTACTCTGAGCTCCTCCATCTCTAAGGGAGCCCACAGCCACTCTGCAGAGTAAACTCATTTCAACTGCTTGTATTCGCGACAATCCTTCAAATACTAATAGATTGTCACATCTACACTTACAGAATCAGTGAATAACTCTAAATGCCTTTGTGTACAGAAGACACTCTTTTTGCAGGACCAGTCACAACAGTCATAGAACAAAGTTTAATGAGACAAATCAACATTCCACATCTTTAACCATGTTATAGTTGTTTTCTTTTGTCATTTACAAACCCACATTTGTTTTTTTAAGAGCGGTTCGTGCTTGTTCTGTAATTCATATTCCCCTGCACTGACAGTCACCTGGGACTCAGTGCTTATTGGATTTCTTGCGTCGCTGCTTCATATGCAGTGTTCATTAGATGTTTCGCTCAATTGGCCGCGATGCGCTCCGATTGTGTGAGACCCGGTGATTGGAAAGTACAGCGCCCCCCTCAGGCCACATGGGTTTTCACTCCAGTGGTTTTTATTAAGAAGAGACGTGAGGCGTTCGATGATAACAGTTTTTGTGATAAGAGTCCATTCAGCGCACAAAGATCGGCTCCACGCTTCACACGTCTCAATATTAAACTGGACTAAACTGTTTTGCCCTGTGGACTGGATGTCAGCTGTTCCAATTATTTGAACATGTTTGATGAACATTAGTAACCCTTAGAGACCTACCAGACACATGCGCTGGGAGCCAGTCATTCACAGGGTCTGTTTTGAAATGAAGCTTTTATTTTACTTCTAATGATTGATATCTCCACCCCACTACTTGGCCCTACTCTCCTCTACCCCGATTGCGAAAATTTCCTCCAGCCCTGTTCAACTGCTACCAGGTACTTTTTTAGTACCAGCTTGGCCCTGCTTCTACCCAGGCCAAGCTGTTATGTCATAAGTCAAAACACTAGAAATCTACATATCCTTCTAGTGTGAAAACTAGGAGCATTAGAAAATGTAAATTTGATGATATTTCAAATTCTAATAATAATAAGAATGCATTGAATTTATATAGCGCTTTTCAGGACTCTCAAGGACGCCTTGATGGTGATATACTGCTACTGCCCTGGGGCACACTGACGAAGCGAGGCAACCAGTATCTGCCTCCAACCACCACCCATAAGATAAACATACACATTCCAGACTCGTTCTAGGCAGGGGCATGTGGGGGAAGTGTCTTGCCTAAGGACACAACAACATTTTGGCACTTTACAGCTGCAGCCGCCCCATTGCCAATGCTGATGCACCTGGTGTTCCCAGAGGTCTCCCATCACAGTACTAACCAGGCGCTGCTCTGCACAGAAGGGATCAGGCTTTTGCATGATAGTATTGCCACACTTTGATAATCCCTATAGAACCCTGCAATATATTGTAAACCAAATGATGTTTTACGATTTTTGAAAACACATTTATTTTTGGCCAAATGTTCAATGCAGTGTCAATAATCTCAATAATTTTGTTATAGTTGTGTATGGGGATGGATTGTGATCATATCGTGACTATTGTGATTAAAGGAATAGTTCACCGTTTTTACATACTGACATATGTTCTTACCTTACCTTAGACTAGTTAATATATACCTGTCTGGTCTTAGTCCGTGCGCTCTGTCATGCAAACGGAGCAAAAACGGGAGCACAACCGCAGCCTCCTCTGTATATTTTGTAGCACCAAAAGGTAGCTCCCGCTAGAAGCTACCAAACTCTTCCAAGTGTTCCCTATTAAATGTATATAGTTACGTGACGTGTTACACTGCAAAGTATAGTAACACAGAAATGTAACAGTCGATTTTCTTAGCGGATAAAACGGGACTATATTGTGAGGCGTAGTAATCTGAGGGGCGCTACGTCCGCGCACTAACTTCTCTCCGGAGACTTCTCTCTCGCTCACTTCCGTCAATAGAAGCAGCGTGACTTGTAATACACACAGTAGCAGCGAGAGAGAAGTCTCCGGAGAGAAGTTAGTGCGCAGAGAAGTTAGGAGCGCTACGTCCGCGCACTAACTTCTCTCCGGAGACTTTTCTAGTCTAAGGTAAGGTAAGAACATATGTCAGTATGTAAAAACGGTGAACTATTCCTTTAATATCCCCAGAGACAAGGCGATACACAGTGGAAATGAGGCTTGAGTGTTATAACGTCCTTTGATACGTAAGACATTTTCATCACTTTTTTGACAAGAAGCAGACAGGAAATAGAAATGAAAGGATGTTGTATCTGTACAATAATGACATGTCCATTTCGCGTTTTTTCCCCCTAGAAATGTTGGAGCATCACTTTCCCGAACACAGGCTATGAATAATCAGTTCAATGCAAACAAATCCACAAGTTTGTTTAGTGTGAATGGGAAATGTCCTGTTATTTCCACAAACAGGGAGCATTACCTGCGATGTCGGGCGTATCTGCCGCTAATGTGTCCGCTCCCGTTGCATCCTGGGGTGGGGCAGCTGATGGGCGGTTAGAGACGGGTTAGAACATGGTAGAACAAAGCCGTTTAGTTTATGATGACAAACAGCAGAAAGCACATATACAAGAGGTTAGAACAAAGCTGTATGACGGCAAGATTATTAGATGAAATATTACACCAAAATAGACAATACAAGTGAAGTCCTTTCAACTGTATTTCTCTTTCAAGTCTGTAATGGTTAGAATTATGTCCATGTGTCACTATATTGATTCGTGGCCTATCTAGAGATCACAGCCTTCAGTCCAGAGAAGAGAAGGGTCTGTGGGTTATATCCTGTGACCGCGTGTGATAAAGATCTGTTCAAACCGGCTTCATTTCCTCCTCACCCCCAAACTACAAAACACACTGCAAAACTAGCCCAATGGAATTTCAGTTAATTGAAATACAAGCATATATATTTTGCAGAATCATATGTTTCTTTGCTGGTTTTAACATTGTTCCACTTGATAAACAGACCAGGAGTTCTTTATAGCGCCCCTGCTCTTTCTGTCAAAATGCGATGTTTTCAAACTTGTTATGACATTACGACTCACACAATGACAAAAAAAGGGGAATAATTTCATAGAGGACATTGCATACAAAACACATGTCCTTATTTATTTAGTTATGTTTTTATTTCAATATATATATATTTAGTGGTCCAAGAAAGGAAAAAAAAAATCTGATGAGGGCTATAATGGCCGAAACGTTGTTAAATATATCATATTTTGTATATCTATTTTAAGTGTGTTCTGGACACATTGTAGTCTTGTTTTTACAGTGCGTGGTTCTTTGGCGCTCGTGGCCATGACCCTGACGACGGCTCATTAGGATTCTCATTAACGAGCTGCAGCATTATTCCTCCAATTACACCTCTTATTCATTTCACTTATTAAAACGCCACATTAGCATTTTAAATGAGAGGCCGCGGCACTCCAAAACTATAACCACGGCAACACATGAGTTCATAACTTGGGTTTACAGATATTAAAATGTATGCGTGCTTTCATAGGTTATTTTTGTAATTTTCCAATTTTGATCCAAAAATAAACACACAATTGTTTCATGTTTATTTTGTGTTTTTGATATGACCCAGTATCACATGATTGATCAAAATAATGTGAAAAGATTAGAACGACTTTGACGAGAATGCATTGCTTCTGAAGGCAGAAGACTTTCATTAATGTGTCAGTTTCAGCTGTTTGTGTGTTTTCAATTAAACGGCTCAAAAAGGTTGGGGAACACTGATATAGAGCAAGGATAGATCTGTGGACTAAACAAAACTAATAACATAAAACATAAATACATACATAGGCAAAGAACCAAATAGTTTTTGAGACGAGAACTAGTTTTGTTGAGTATTTTTTTCTGTGGGCCGAAAAGTTAGGTAACCTAGCTTTAACCCTTATACAACATGCAAGCTGATCATTTTGGGTCAACAGCATTCATAAATTGTTGCATCTCAAATTTTCAGAGCAAAAATGTGCTTAGGGAAGTGAAGGGTTAACCATATTGTTTGTGCGTGTGCGTGCGTGTGCATACGCATGTGTGTGTGTGTGTGTGCATAGATATACTGTATCATCATGTTGTTATTTCTTTACACTGGCTCACCAATCTCTTTTTTCCATTTCATGATGTGAGCAACGCATCGAACATGTACTGTACAAAATAATGTGTCCATTTTCTGAATTGCATAACACTTATTGCACTTGTCCTGCATGGATAAAGCATCAGATAAAGTGTTGCATTGAAGAAGAAAAAAAGACTTTATCAACACATTCATTCTTCTTGTAATAAATCTGAAATGTGAAATAATCTCATCTGTTGGACATGTGTGTAGGAGAGGTGGTGTTACTGACCTGAGCTCCTGTCCGACCAGCTCCACAGGCACTGAGGGAAAACACACCAAAAGTGGAAACAATCAATACATCACACAATGCACTGTGTGAGTGTGTGTGTGTGCAAATGTGTGTATGACTAATATAAACTAAACCAATATAGTGGTTTGAAGGAATTATTGGACTGCAGAGATGTGGTCACCGTACTGGAAGAGAGAGCAGCGTCTGCAGTCAAAGCTCTTGATTTACTGCTCAAATCTCAATATTCCCACCCTCACCTTGAGCTAACCCTTTCTGACACAGGAGGAGCTTGTAGTAGAGTCGCTGCTACTCCATGTTGAAAGGAGGCAGCAGAGTTGGTAAGGGTTAGGTATCGAAATCTGCTAAAGAGTAAGACCCAGGACATGTTGGAGTTGTGGGGAGGGAAGTCTAGTAATCTCTAATCAGCCTGCTGCCCCCTGACCCGGCAACAGATAAAGTAGAAGAAAGTGAATGACTGGAAGACAGGATATGTCGTTGTTTGCAAAGGATCTAAATAATTGAAGCCTTTGCAATTGGTGAAATTGCAAAACCGATTTGATTGAGATACGGAATATTGCAGCCTTGAAAAATATCACTTTCTATTGGTATAATTTCCCTTGTCAAGTCAGATCTGCTTAAATCAATAAAAACACATTTGCTCATAATACAAGCAATTTCAAGCGCAGCTCAATGTGATTTTTGCTCTGTGTGTGTGTGTGTGTGTGTGTGTGTGTGTGTGTGTGTGTGTGTGTGTGTGTGTGTGTGTGTGTGTGTGTGTGTGTGTGTCTATGTTTGTGTACGTTGTGCTGCTGGCTGTGTGATCCGGGCGTGAGGATAAACACAACACCCACTCAATGTACAGACGGAATCAAATATGCAACTGAAGCACAGCCAAGATGTGGGGAAAAAAAAAATCGCAGGAAATAGGAATTATGTCTTTGACGCTTCTGGGGGAATGTATAATAATGTACTGGGGGAAAAAACACGCTTAAATATCGAATAAAACCTTGTTGAATTACGTCCTGTTTTACTTGATCAAAGTATAGTTAAAATATTGTCCGCTACAGGGCCAACCGTCCAAGTCAAATATTTTACAAAATAGTTCCAGTTTTATCCATTTTGAGTATACAGTATGTGTCCCATTGTCTGTTTCATGGCGTGATAATGGGACCCTCTTTCAACTGCACCCATGGACTGGTCTACCCCGGCCCGGACTCGTGGGCTGCACCCCCGTCCCCACCTGGGAGCCTCTTCAGTCCTGCCCCGCCTCAGTCCTCATTCTACAGCCCGAGTCCTGGATCTACAGCCTGTCTCTCCGTGGGAGCTTAACTTTGTCAATCTGGGTCTCCCCAAGCTTTTCTTTTTGTTTTCTTTTTAAGTTTAAGTTGTTTTGTTTTCTTTTGATCTTCACTTGTATTGAAACAGTTTTAGTTGATTGATTTCACAGCGTCAATTGTTTTCAGCATTTTTAAGTTAAGTTTTAATTCTGTACTTTTTAACCTTGTTTTATCTACGTACTTGTCTGGTGCACACTGGGGACTTTCGCAAATGTATTCCAAAGTGGTTTTACTGCAAATGGCAAATGAAATGAATCTGAATCCTGGTTGATGTAGGAGGGTCCAAGCACATTGAGGATCTGGGACAATGAAGGACATTTATAAAGATTTATGGTCGTCCCGCTCCTTATAGACCAAAGCCTCCTCTTTGTGATTATTGTATTTCCTGTGCTTGAACTATTTGATTCTATGATCGGTCGTTAAGGAATTGACAACTTCGTAAAGTCCTTTGAGATGACTATAGCTATACATAGATAAATTGAATTGGAGTAGGACTTTTGCCCCAATCATTTCAGAAAAGACAAAAACAGTACAAAATTATTAAAGAAATGTAGCCTAATAGACATCAAATAAACAAAAAGAAGATTTTAAGTTGCGTTTAGTTTTGCACTCTGTCCAGTTTTTTTGCAGTGTGGCAGCAGGGAAAATGCCCTCTGCACACAAACACAAAATGCTGTCGTGGAGAAAAATGACAATTAAACGCAACGTCAGCAATACAACCTGATTCATCGCCTCACGTTAGTTTTTCATAATTGGACGAGATGAAATTAAAACGTAAAAGTGCCGTCATCAGTGAAAAACAGCACTTTTTTTTTCAGCCGACTTTAAGTAATTACTTTAAACCCACAAATCATGTCACAAACAAAAGCATTGTGGTGTTGTCTGTGGGTGAACAGTGTCCGCTGGAGCCTATGGGACCAGGAAACTTTGTCTTTGCTCTAATGCTAATTTTCCACCAAACACATGAACAATCTTTCTTCATTCATCGTTTCTGCTGATGTTGTGTAAATAAGCAGCGATCGATATAGAGATTTCAAGTCAATTACAATAATGAGCCTTGTTTGTCATAGATTTTCATTATTATTTCATCTATTCTATTTATTTGACAGAGATCTTGCACTAAACTTGCACTTGTTTTGTTAAGGTACAAAATCGGATGGCACTTTGAGAGGCCATTTGTATAAACTGCGCAATACGAATAAACTTGCCTTGCCTAAATGCATGATGTATTATGTATTTTAATCTTCTTTTGTATGACTTCCACAAAGTGACGGCAGGTTTACAGTGTGCAAAGAGTTAATAAATAAAATGTGGTTACTAATATTTCAAACACAGATTGTCCACCCATGGTACTTTCACATTTGACTAGAGAAGTATTACAGTATACTTTTATATACTTTTCAGGCGATTGACCATAGCTGGATGTCTTTGCACGAAACAACATGTGCACTTTTCTGTCTCCGTTGTCAGTTTGACTTTTGAGGATTTGATGTTTTGAGTTTCTCTGAGTTTCGTCATTAGCCTGAGGATGAGTGCGGACTTCAAATGAACGCCCACGCACCCACACCAGGCCCTGTTCTAGCCCACTCATCTTGGGTGGGCAGGCCGAACTCTCAGGTGGCTGCCTAAATTCTAAACGGTCTCAATTTCTCAAAGGGAATGCATGTGTGACCATTAAAGTATATTTCAGTTTATACAACAACACAAAATAGCATGAAATTGTTACGAATACGATCAAAAGTGCGCTCTTCCCAACCATAGACTGTAGCGCGCATGTGAGAGGATGCTTGGTTTGTGATTGGCTGGCCAGGTTGTTCTTGTTATGTCTAGATCAGCGGTGGGCAAACTCCGGCCTGTGGGCCACATGCGGTCCTCCCATTTCTATCAGGCACTCCTCAGTTTATATAGATATAGTTTTAAGACAATAAAATCCCTCTGTGCTGCGTACAGAGCTCTGAGGCCGCAGACGCACTCCTCGCTCTGCCACAAAATATAAAAGTTAATATAATATGTGTAATATATTAATGTGTAAAGAAATTAAGCCTGAGAAAAACAACGGAAATTAAGTCCAGCCGCCAACCTGTGGGCCTCGGGAAGTTTGCCCATGCCTGAGCTAGCTTTAGCCGGCCCCGACACACTCACTCACACCATAAAATGTAACATACAAAAGCAGAAGCAAAAGTATAAAGTGTGATAAAGTATTACCTCTCATTCCTTTGGAGCGTGTGCGCGCCCTCTTGTCATCGCTCTCCACACTCATCTGCACAAACACACAAAAAGCAATCAAACTTTAGAAATACACTGTGACGTATCAGTCGAATCATATTTTGCCACATTTGCTGTTGTGAGTCTGTGACGTTGACCCGGTCACTGAATGAACCGGTCCACATTGTTAAATCCAGTATTTTAGTCATCGTAACTTCCTCGTTCTGTCTTTTTTCAACGTTGTGTTTTACTTGCAGCACTTGCGCTCGTGTGTGCGTCTCTACTCTGTAATTTTTCTGCGGTCAAGACCCCGGGCACGAGAGTAGCCCACAATCACACACGCGACCATAACAGAAGAAGAAAAAGGCTAAAACACCCAGCTAATAAAGGCCTTTAAACCAGAGGAGTGCTTTTCGCTTTTTTTATGCACTCCAGCGGCTTTTAACTCACAAAGGAGCAGGTGTTAAGCGGCTAGCGCATTAGCCTTAGCCTGACGCGCGCACGCACACACACCGTTAGCTGCGCTTTAGTCGCGATCGGCTGCTTTTTAGACACAAAAGCGCTGCCATTAGCTTTGATTACCGGACTCTGTGAGCTTTCAATCACAGCTCTTTCTCTTTGTAACATTTTCTTTTATTCGCCGACACCGCAGAAAGGAGTACGACCATTACAGGATGTGGCTCAGAAAATGTGTTTGGAGAAAGTTTGACATGTGCACATTTGAAACATGTAGCAATGAACCAAATCTGATTTTTGTAGCACCTTTTGTGACACTTTTGACTTTGATTACTCACTTTTAAAGGCAAAGATCTGTACTTTCTTCTCCTCAACGTAAAAATGGGTTACTCACTTTAAAAACATTTGCAGATGCCGACAAACGTAACATGAAAATACGCAAAACATGAGCCGAAAGTTTGTCCAATGTCGCGTGCATAATATACTGTTTGAAGTGATGACTGAAATTTCTAAGTTCATTAATATCTGTGTGAAGTGGTTAGCCGTGCTTCGTCCATACGGGTTCGAAGTGATTAGCTGTGTTTCTGGGATTATTAATACAGGATTGAGGTGGTTAGCCTTGCTTCTAAGTTCATTAACACAGGATTTAATATATAGGTTCATTCAGACAGATGTGAAGTGGTTAGCCGAGCTTTCAAGTTCATTCAGACAGGTTCAAAGTGGTTAGCCATGCTTCTATCTTATCTAAATGTGTTCATACATGAGAGACGTGGATAGCCGTGCTTCTAAGTTCATAGCATCTGCACACAATACTTGCTGTAATGCTGTATTCTGTGCCTGTATGAAACACCCTCATCCCTCCCTCACTGATGCTGAGTCCAGTTTCCCAGGTTTATATTCTCGTCCTCTCAGCGCCTGCTGCGGCATCAGGTTACATCACTGCTTTTCCCATCTTTGTCAAAGCAGATTGTATGGAACAAAAAAGGCTTAAAAAGATTTCAGTCTGTATGAGTGAGAAGTTTTACAATGAGTTTAATGGCTCAGGAATAATGTGTTTTGTTTGAGGAGTCCTGCAAAACCCACAGTAGAATTCTGATTAGAATTCTTTTTGCAGTGCAGGCGTCGGCACTTAAGCGCCTTTGTGAGCGGGTCTTACACAGAGCGCTCTGTCCGAGGCTCTTCCTGTTCATGAAGAGAAGGGAAGTGCAAGCGGGTGTGTCTCTGTGTGTGTGTGTGTGCGTGTGTGTTCAGTAGTAGTTAACACTGTGGTTGTGTGTTGAGCAAATTAAGGGGATTTCTTGTTAATGCACATGTTGCTACTTTGTTTGTATTCAAAGTCGGACCTGGAGTTATTTTTAGCTCCATCCACACTGATATTAGCAATTTTCAGCACAAACTACCCCCTTCCCCTCAAAGCATGCGTCAGTCCAAAGTTTTTGTTTTGACATGGAGATAAAATGGCATGCCTAACCTAAATATGTATGATTGGATTGGAATTAATTTATGATGAACATTTTATTATTTTGTCAAAAACATATATTGATTATAGTTCCTCTTCTTGGCATAACCGCCACCAGTACGATTTGATGGAGGAAAATAGTTGGACCAATGATGATTATTCAAGTTTATTTTGTCCAATCAGAGCCCTGTGGGTGGGGCTTACTGGCACTTGTATTCTAAACATTTACCTCAGCACTGGTCACAATCCGAAAAGTATCGGATATTCACCTTAATGTAGTATTTTTAGCAAGTTTGATTAAATACTCAAGCACTTGTTATGTTTGTAACCTTTGGGCCCCCTGAAGTGCCTCTGAGGACCCCGGACCCCACGTTGGGATGCACTGACACAGAATATGTCTTCTTTGAATGCTTGACTCTCACATGATTGTAATTCACTTATTGTTTTGTGATTTGCCTCTGGAACATTCCCCAGCGTGCCACTGTTTGCTCTCCGGTTCAGTCGTAATAAGATGTAGTGATGCTCCGTCTCCCGCGGCAACAGAAATCAAAAGTGGATCAATAAAAGTCATCTTATCTCACACAGCCATGAGGGGGAGGAGGATAAACTACTTTTACAGACCTCCAGGGAATTCCACCCCCAACCCCAGGCCTGAACCGGGACTGAACCAGGACTAAAGCAGGACTGCAGCAGGACTGAACAGGACTGAGACTGGACTAAATCAGGACTAAGGTCTGGGGCAGGGACCGTTATAAAAACCAAAGTGAGGCCAAGATGCTCTAAGCTAAATTATTTTAAAACAGCAAAGTAGCTCCGTAGCTCTGTCTTGTGGCGCTAACAAATCAACATATTCAACACAGAGCGTTCTGTGAGTGGGGGGTATTCACATGGATCGATCAAAAAACATCTCCAGGTTTGTTTTCCATGCGGTACACTGTTGTATGGTTCAAGTATGTCTTCTCGATGACAATAACAATTTGTCCTCGGCCTTTAATGCTGTTTTTCCTCAATTGCAGAAAGTGAGAAAGGTGCTGGTCCTCTCAGCTCAGATCACAGTTGAATCAAATCGGGCGCAGAATGGCGATATAGGATGTAACGGAGGCGCAGAGATCCCGTTACAGATGTTTTATCTTCTTTGCTTTTATGTAAATGTGTCCAGAGGAGAAGGTCGCCCTGCCCCCACTTCACCTGCTCACGCTCAAATGTCACGTCTACTCGTGTGCCGCTTCCTCATGTTTACAACCAGAAAGGAAAGAGGAGGAGGAGGAATTTCAAACAGCTCTTAAACTAATGATTCTACTCTGCCATAAATATACATGTGCATTTCTACCACGTGAGTATGTGTCGAACAGGAAAACTAAGCACAGTATTGCTGGTCTTCATTATGGCAATCGTCAAGAGCATAAAGACATTTCGTGGTTAGAATGCTTGATATATGGATAAACATGTATAATGGAATAAGACATGACTAAGATGAGCGAAACTGTACCAACTAGTGGTAGAGTTGGGAAATTACATTCAGCTTGTATAGTATTAAAACATGATGCAATCCAACAGCACAGCAGCACTCTCCAAGTCACTTCCAGAGATACGTTCTCTGACAGGGACCGGTTCCGCTCATTCATTACACTAGGAAATTGGGTTGTTTGAATGACCCATTGTTTTTCCTGCATATTGCATCTGTTTTATACAGTGGTTTTTTGGACACTCAAAGACGCTTCACACTTCATACAGTAAACGTCTACTGTAGCCACAGCTGCCCTGGGGCACTGACAGAAGCGAGGCAACCGGTATGTACCATTGGCCCCTCCAACCATCATCAACCATTCACCCACACAGCAGACTAATTCTAGGTAATGTGGGTGAAGTGTCATGCCTAAGGACACAACGACAGTTTGGCACTTTACAGCCGCAGCCGCCCCACTGTGGCATCTAGTATTCCCAGTGGTCTCCCATCACAGCAATAACCAGGCCCTGCCCTGCTTAGCTTTATAGATTTGCTTTTCACAGGCAGGTGCGCCACACCACCTGCATGGTGCCACATTATTATTCATATTTTCGTTATTGTTATAATCATGTGTGAGTGGGACATGTGGGCTACTATTTAGAGTCACATCAGAGCGATGTGACTGATTCTAACAAAAAGGAGCCGAGGAAAATGATTGAATCCACTACAGGTGAGTAGAGAAGCACACAGTGTGAGCTCTTCTCCGTATTTGTTACTAGTTTGAAGGCTGTAGATTTAGACAGAAGGGGAACATGCTTGTGCCTGAAGCTCCTGATACTAGCGTATGTAGCTGAAAAGCACCATGAGAAGACATGTAACATGTTTAAAACTGGAAACATCTGAACATTTTGCATCATACGTTCTGTGGTCATATTTATCCCAAAGTTTCTTTTCCTTTTGTCTATCTTATTTATCTTCAATTAGAATATAGGAGCATTGTTATGAAGTAGATCAGGCACAATACGTCCCCTTTAAACTGGTCCTTTTTGAAATCGCGGATGAGAACGCTCTGACTTTGTGTTCATACAAGTTTAATGAGGCAGAAAAAGGCGCTCGATGCGCTTACACCTATTTAGACCTGTGCCGTCGCCATGGTAACGCAAACATGAAAGCACCGGAGACACAAAAATGATACACAAGATTATTTTTTATCTTTAACCATACATGTGTGATCCCGCGGCTCCGCTTCAAGTGCAGGTGAATATTAAGCGTATTAAGAGCTTTTCCTTCATATTCTATACTTTAATTAGCAGCTTTTCATTCATAAACTTTTTCCTCAGTCAGAGCTGTGGAAGTGTAAATGATCCACTTTTATCTCTTTTTCAAATGATTTCCGTTCTGATTGGATTGAAAACGTCAAACTAATACCAGATAATTACTTTTTCAGGTCGAATAAAGTATCTATTTAATAATACTACTGCTTTTGGAACTACTTGAATTTGATGACACTCTAAATTTAATATATAGAAATATAATTTTTGACTTTTTCCCATAATGCAACATTGTTCCTCATCAAAAACAGTTGTTCCTATAGCTTCCTTCAAACTAATATCAATACCATTTTCAGCACCAACTCATAGAATGTTCTGGAATCTTTCCTGGTCTGTTATATTGTAGTTGAGATCTTTCCTGCCTTTTTAAACAAATACTGTCAAGTACATTGTTTACTGCATATCTGTCATTTCAAATCTAAATTCAAAGTTCCCATGTAAAATTCCATATAAAATTTAAAGAACTAGCAATGAGCTAATTCTGGTGTGTTGACAGACAGGTCTTCATTACTACAGCCTGTCTACCTAAATCTATGATTTCAATATTAAATGTCTTTTGCCTGATTTAGTCTTAAACATGGCCGTTATTTAAAGAGGTCATCCTTTCGCTAAAATCTACCACATGCTTTGTTTTGTTTTGTTATTGAAAAGGATTTCCTCAGGAAGGGGATAAACTTTATTTGGCACTATAATATATGGAAACTACTTGATAAAGGGGGCAAATTGAAAGACTTTCAGATATTTTTCTAATATATCTGTGACTTGTAATATATTTAGAATGAACTGATTCAACACACTGTGTGAGGAGGTTTGTTCACACTGGATCGCCAGAGAAGCAGAAGTGCACTTTGCAGGATCCTTGTGACGAGGGCTCAGTGCTCTGCCTCAGACGTGAGTGGTCTCACACTGGTCTCACTTACACAGCGCTGCTGAACAAAAGAATGAAGATGTGAGCAGAAGAATTCTGCCTGTGATGCGCGATAAGGACACGAGAAAAGAACCATCCGCCAACCGCCAAGGACAGAGTCAGAGCTGTGGCCAAACGCAGAGAGAGCAGTCAGCAGAGAAAGAGCTGAGTGCACAGTGCGCCAGGACACAGGACAAAGTGCCGAATGGGACAGAGGAGACAGAAGAGACAGAGGAGACAGAGGAGATAGAGGGGACAGAGGAGACAGAGGAGACAGAAGAGACAGAGGAGACAGAGGAGACAGAGGAGACAGAGGAGACAGAAGAGACAGGGGAGACAGAGGAGACAGAGGAGACAGAGGAGACAGAGGAGATAGAAGAGACAGAAGAGACAGAGAAGATAGAGGCGACAGAGGAGACAGAAGAGACAAAGGAGACAGAAGAGACAGAAGAGACAGAAGAGACAGAGGAGACAGTGGAGACAGAGGGGACAAAAGAGACAGAAGAGACAGAGGAGACAGAAGAGACATGAAGAGACAGAGGAGACATGAAGAGACAGAAGAGACAGAGGAGACAGGGGAGACAGGGGAGACAGAGGAGACAGAGGAGACAGAAGAGACAGAAGAGACAGAAGAGACAGGGGAGACAGAGGAGACAGAAGAGACAGAAGAGACAGAGGAGACAGAGGAGACAGAGGAGACAGAAGAGACAGAGGAGACAGAGGAGACAGACAGAGAGACAGAAGAGACAGAGGAGACAGAGGAGACAGAAGAGACAGAGGAGACAGAGGAGACAGAGAAGACAGAGGAGACAGAAGAGACAGAGGAGACAGAGGACAGAGGAGACAGAGGAGACAGAGGACAGAGTGCCTGAAAGGACAGAGGACAGAGAGTTGCTCATTTGATCATCTCTAATTTCATTTTTCATGTAAAAACTAGGCCACAAAAGTTGAATTAAGTAAAAAAACAACTCTGATTCAGGACTACTGGACTAAAAGAATTGTAAAGTTTAAACCTGGATCTGTAGCAGGGTCTAAACAGGACTATTCTGGGACTGAGCCAGGTCTAAACCAGGTCTCAACCAGGTCTCAACCAGGTCTAAACCAGATCTATACCAGACCAGGTTCAAGGGTAAATCTTGGGTTTGATCTTGAAAAACTGGATCAGCCCCAGGACCAGATCCGGTCTAAACCAGTTGTAATCTAGGGCCAAGAGGAGGGTGGTGCCATGAATGTCACTCATTGTGATTGACAGCTGAATCTGCAGTTTCTGGGAGGCCTGCATGTCAAGGACTGAACCAGGTCTAAACCAAGTCTAACCCAGGTCTAAACCAGCTCTAAACCAACTCTAACCCAGGTCTAAACCAGGTCTAAACCAGGTCCAAACCAGGTCTATACTAGGACCGTGTGTGTGTTTGTGCGAGGGCGGGGCTTACCATGATTGGCGGCCGGCTCTTGAGTCTGGAGCTCTGGCAGCGTGCGCTCGTTCTCTCCCCTCGTGTCCACCGCTGACTCACCAGTTCCCCCCGGAACTCATTCTCTGTGGAAAACACGCACAAACTCATGTAAATAAAATAACACATTCATTATTAGTCATTTTCAGACCGAGTACAGTGTGCTACATACATGAATACATTTCACTAATTATTTGCCGCAGAAAACAAAGTGTGAAATTAGGTCAGACACCACAATAAGTGCACTGGAACAATCAGGTATATACTTTTTATACTTTGTTTTTACAGTATATTCATCTTAAAGATTTTATTTTATTTTGTTGTGTTATGTAACTGTTGTTATGCTGTGCTCTTCATTCCTACTGTAACATAAGATGCAAAACTAATCGAATAAATAATCTTACTCTAAGTAACTCAAATAAATAGCACCACAAAAGATGGACGAAGACATTTGAAATTCCATGCCATATTTCTTCAAGCCTGTTTTAGTATCTCCAAATATTATTCATGTATTTAATCATTTCAATTGCAGACGATATAATGTAAAATGTCAACAAACAAAAAAAAAAAATTCTGAAATCGCTTGCCTTTTCTGATTTATGTTCAATACACAGACAGCTATTATAACATTTAAACAATAGAATGAACACAAAGTCAAAGAAGCAATATTTCTACGAGGAAATGAGTATATTGTTATTCATTGAAGTCCAACCAGGTCTAAAGCAGGACTACCCCCTCTCTTCATTAGCCGCCTCTGGTCAGACTAAGTGCAGCTGAGGCCTTTTTTCTTTCTCTGCTTTTAAAATCAATCAAATCTGTGCATTTTGATCAAGTGTCAACGTGAAGGGGGAGGTGTGTGCATGTGTGTGTGTAGGTGTGTAGGTGTGTGCATGTGTGTGTGTGTGTAGGTGTGTGTGTGTGCATGTGTGTGTGTGTGTGTGTGTGTGTGTGTGTGTGTGTGTGTGTGTGTGTGTGCATATGTGTGATAGAAGAGAACAGGGGGAGGGTAAATAATGAATCATACATGAATCCAGACCTCAGGAGTAGCAACAGCTGCGGACACTGCATAGATAAATGAGAATAAGGGCTAAATTAGTATTCTGAGTCATTTTGGAGAACAGATTTGTGTGATAGAATTAACAAATAGACTAAGTTCAGCCAACAATCACGTTTCAAACAGAGCTGCTGGACCGGGCCCTGTTTGGAAGAGTGAAGGGGAGTACTATTATTACAACATGGAAGCAGTTTGAGTAAAAGGAGGATTGATTGTGTCCCCTTGCAATAGCTATTGCCCTTTTTGGGGGACATTTGAATGGTACCACTATCAGGCCTGTGCTGCATTGTGCATTAAAACACACACTTATTCATGTATTCTTCTTTATTTACTTTTTGTGGAACCTAAGCATGTTCTACAACTTTTCCAATTTCAATCCAATTTCAAACGTTTCCAATCCTATTCTGCATTGTTTTTCACTTAACCCAGGGAATTGGGCCTCTGGCTTTAGGGGCATTTTATCTTCTGATGCTCCTGGGACAACTACTTTAAAGTCAGAGAAGGAACCTGAACAACACATTTTTCCTCACTAAATAAATGAGCGGAGCACATTAGCACGTTAGCACATTAGCTAGGATGCTGACATATATTTCCCATAAATAGTTAATGTTGCTTGTTGGAACATAATATAGTCTTGAAAGTTATATGGTGTGAACAAATCAGATATTTAACTTATTTTGTATACTATCACATATTGACTCACAGGGAACACAATTCGTTGAAAACTTATTTGCAAAGACAGAGTGGTTGTCCCTTTTTCACTTTTATGTCTAAGAAAGCTTTTTGATGCTTTACAGTTGCCAAAAATATACCTTCATGTGAAAACTGTTTTAAGAGCAAAAAAACAAGGATTCAATTATTTTTTGAGTGGTTTGAAATATAGGTACCCCAGCTTTAATAGCCCATGGAGTCAGTTATTTTTGTTTTTTCTTTATTTATCACTGTTTAATGTGCAGATCAATGTACATTTGAGTTATTTTCCTGTCCAGCCTATATTCATAATAAAACACTAATGTTGAATCCAGCTACTTTCACACATGTTTGCTGTGTGAATGCAATCAAAAGCCTGCCGTACACCTGCCTAAATGGTTCTCAGTATGCGGGAAAATGACTTATATCGACATATTCCCATCTGAAGGAGACCCCGGGGAAGACCCAGGACACGCTAGAGGAACCATGGCTCTCTGCTGGCCTGGTCCGTGTGTCTCGGGGGCCTCCGGTGTGGACAAAGAGGGAGGAAATGGATGGATGCTTACACTGAAATTGACCGAGAGGGAGTTCAGGCAATGTTTTAAGCAGAATCACAGTATCATTTGTTTCTCTTTCTTATTTCTGCAGTGTGTGTATACGTGGCCCAGCTCAGGCTCAGGTTCACTCAGAGTTCTTGGTTCAGTTTTTGAACATCGCCTCAGGCTTCTCTTTTCAGTGGCAGAAAATCTTCTAACACTACATGGTATCGCCTGAATGTTTCCTCTGTCTGCGGATTTTTAGGCTTAAACTGTGTCTGGCAGGTGACTTTTCCCCAGTTATGACTCCAATATTACTCACAGCTCATCAGTCGAGCGGCAGAATGAGAGAACAGGTGGAAGAGAAAATGCTACTCTATTGTATGCAACACTTTTAAAATACTCCCCTCCTCTCGTGTTATATATAAATTCAAGTATAGTTTGTTTGTAGGAGGAATAATAGAAAAACACTATGCACTGTGAAACAACATGAAAACCCTGGTAAAACCAAACACCAAACAGTAGTTTTTAGTTCACCCCAAGGATAAAATAGTCCATGGCCACATCTGTAACGTAATGTAATGAAATCCCCTGTTTGTCGTACAACAAGACCAACACTGAATGTGAAATGAAGCAGTAAAAACACATGTCGAGTCCATGTGGTATGATATCTCAGTCCACAGCAAAAGGGAGAACAACATTATGGACTGGGACTATGCCATGGCTATAGGCACAGAGAACAAAGAGCCATAAAAGCTTTAAACTTGACAAAAAAAGGGAGATTGTGATATTACTTTTCATCGCTGCCACATCCAATTGAAAAGAATGATGTATTCATATTAATGAAAGTCTATAATAGTCTGATAGTCTGGGCAAAGAATGATTGCGATATAATTTTTAGTCAAGCTATAGCTAGAATCACATTTTTTGTAAACAGTATTGAAAAGCTCTTGAATTTGACCAAAACTGGAGTGGCCACCAGACTATAAACCGGGATGAGGGGGCACATCACTGACTCATACCTGGGACGTCCAACTTGACAGTATTGAGTTGCTACATATGGATTTATCCATGAATTTTTGAGTTACCCAAATGAGTGCTATGGAGATGATTCTAACACAGAGGAGGGAACTGGAAACAGCGGTGGGGGTGCCAGAAGAACCACTTCATCAACGATACGCTTATCTACACACTTTTATGTTCACATATCTCCTATAAACAGTGCTATTCCCAAAACTTCGAAAGTTTAGCTGTTTTTATGGACACATAAAGTATCCAAAAAGATAAAAGCCATGAGGTGATTTTACTATTCAAAACCAGAACTAAACTGGAGCTTAAAGTCCTTCATTATCTACCCTCTTTCTCTTTTGTACTAAAGTTTTGAAATCTGATTCTTGCTGCTTGTTTTTACTTCCCTGACCTTTCGCAACACTTTGGACAGCGCAAAAAACACAGAAAAGCAAAAATAATCTCACAGAAAAATACAAATAACAAATTAAAAAGCGTCAAAGCACCTTGAATTTTCTGGAGACCGGTGCTCAGGTCTGAAGACTGAAAAGAGCGCAAGGTTTGGGTCAGCTCTATTCAAAACGGAAATTATTGGAAATGCAAATGATTCAAGCCACGAAAATGTGATAATTACGATATTTCAATGGAGCCCGATTCAAATAAAATGAGTTTGTGGTTGAATTAAGCTGCGGCTGCCGGTTTAGAATGCTTTTTGTGGTGCATCCCTGGCCTTTGCAGTGCAGTGTGTGTGTGTGTACTTGTGTATGTGTGTGTATGTATGTGTGTGTGTGCGTTTGAAGAACTGGTATCAACACCTTTTATATCTGTGTGTTTGAAAAGTGCGAGATTGTAAAGCAGAGAAAAGCAGAGAAAGAACCAAAAGCACGCATCCGAACGGACACAGGCAAATAGAAATGAGACGGATTCAAAAGACACATATTCTGCACATCTCCTCTGCTCCTCTTCAAAGTCAGACCTGGAGTTGCTTTTAGCTTCCTTCACACCAAGATCAACCAATCTGGTCCCCTAACAGTGGGCTCTGTTTTGAATTGGCTCAACTGTTACAGTACATCATAGACACAGACTGTATTCAGACGGACATCCTCGTGCTCAATGAAGCTCAATAGAGAAGTCCTCTGGCTCCAAACTTGTACGAAAGTGCCCTGTAAGTCACTAAAAGGTCAGAATTTTTGGGTTAAGTGAGGGTGGTCCTCTCTTTTTCTGTCTGTTGTGTTAAAAATATATATAAACATATGTAGATCGACTCAAAGGAGCTAGTTACATGGATTTTTATTGCATAGTTTTTGTTTGTTTCAAAGTTAGGTACCACAGCTTTAAGGGATAACATTTTTATAGCAACTTCTGGCACATATCTATTGATTATAGAAATCTCCTATAACGTCATGGATCTGCCTTTTAAAACGTTGTATCCAGAATGTATCCAGCCAAATACATTCTTTACTAAAAGAAACTAAATTGGCTCAATTTCCCAGTTTTAAACATTTGAAACTTGGAAAATTAGTTCTATTTATGATGTGAAACTAAAATATAACAGGCTCAATGCAAAGTGATGAAGCCTTTATTTGTTTTAATGTTGATAATTGGCTCACAGCTTGTAAAAAATCTAAAAAAAAACAACAACAGACAAACACTTGGCATTTGTCACTTTGCATGTAATGAGTCTATATATTGGTTTCACAATTTAAATGGTATTAAATAAATAAAAGTATTTCTGATATCCTGAGTTTCACCTGTTTGGACGCAGGCAGAATGTTTAACAGCTATAATTAATCCAAATCCTGCGTCACAGTAGTTCTGTAAGTCTGGTGGAGGAGCGCAGCCCGAGCCTCTCTGTGCTTTTGCTGATGCTCTGTGCTGATGCTCTGTGCTGATGCTCTGTGCTGACCGTGCAGCAGTCGCTCATTCAGCTCAGAAAAAGGCCCGAGGAGGCAGAAAGAGCAGCGCAGGGGCCGGACCTCCAGTAATCACTTTGACTAGAGAGGAGAGAGAGCCCGTCAAACGACTCATCTGACAGAGTTGTGGGCGAAGCAAAAGGAGAGAAATGTGTTGAAATGTCATGAATTTCCCGCTTTTATGACGCAAAGTATTCAAACAATTCAACAAAGAGAAACTAAGAATCCAAATGTGCCGTTGTGTTTTGTGGATAAAGCCTGACCTCGTCTGAAGTAACTACATACACTTTTGAATAACTCATCACTAACTTTATAAAAACGTAGGTTGTCCTTCGCTGTTATTATAAAGAAATATTCACATAAAGTGTTTGATTTCATTCGTAAAGTTAAGCAACTGTTTCCACATAACTGTCATGTTCTATTTCATAAAATCAATTAAATGTAACAATATTGTTCGACTTAAATGGCTCGATCCAGTAAATCTAAAGCCTCATTTCCACCAGCCCCTCTAGGCTCTCCTCTCCTCTCCTCTCCTCTCCTCTACTCTACTCTACTCTACTCTACTCTACTCTACTGTATTGTTACTGAACTTTATTAATCAAATCCAACAGTTTTGTTTCCGAGAGTTGTATCACAGTTGTTTATAAAGAACTTATTGGGAAAGTGCCTGATTATCTGGTGTTTGTTGAACTGAAATTCTAAACACAAAATCACAAGAACAATTGCTTTGAGCATTCAAGAAAAAGAGTTTGTGGCGCTCTCATGGGAGACCGTTCTTATATCAGACGCCACAGCGATAGTGGTCATGTGCTTTAAAAGTGCTAGAAACGGTAAAATGCCACTATAAAATTCAAATAATTTTAAAGTAGACATTCAGGTTTTTTTTATTTTACTTTTAACCATGTCAGACCTGAAAGTGCTGAATGTATTGTATGTGCTTTTCTTTACAATATTGTCCTTGTGTTGTAAAAGTAATCTACAAATAAATTTTAATTAATTAATTGATTGATATATAGCTTTATCTGTGCTGACATAAGGAACAGCTATAGCGCAAATGCATGGTTGCCTAACTGACAGACTCCTACCACCCACAACCATTTACACACACACCAGACTCATTCTAGACAGTGTGGGTGAAGT